ATAAAGAGATATGTAGGGGGCGGTGTCTGTTGTCTAACGCTGCAGACTCCAGTGCCTCCTAAATACTATGTCCTGGAAAGTCTGCCTCATCTTCTCTCTTCTTTTCATATCGTGCAGATGTAAGTTACTATTTTTGTTTCTACTGTAACCAACAACTTTTTGCTTTGATGTCAAAAACTATATTTCATATTTCCCGGTACATTGATTACTGATTGCCAATTTTACATTAGTTTATATTTTAATTGTTTGAATAGTGGTAGTTTCAAAAGTATAATGATGAATTGAGAAGAGTATTGTTCCAAACCATTTCCAGCTTGTGTAAAAGATATATACCTATTATCAGAGGACAGGGTTTTTACAGAAAAAAATTAATAACTGTAAATAGCAACAACAAAAAAACTACAACTTTAGAAGAATTTTTGTGATACTAATTAGTAATGTACTGTATGATTGGTTATTGCAGGGATATAAAAGTTAAATACTAATTATAAAATGTAATCTACTGCTGTTTTATGGATCACTATAAATTTATATTTTTTTTTTAGTTTATAAATTTTTTAAGACAAAATTAAAATTTCATTTTTAATTGTATGATTGTTGTAGTATAGACTAAATGTTATGGTATATAGTCAATGATATTATATAATGCTCAACCTTTTTGTGCAACTATATTGTCCAATTCTGAAAGAAAAAAACAGTGCCCAGCTTTGTTACCAAGATCAGTTGCTTCTATATAGCCAGACCAATTTAAAGCTTAATTTTCAAGCAATGCTGGACAAAAAGCTAACTTTTCCCATGATTGAACCGATGACACTCAGTTACTCAGTTTCATCTCCCCAAATTTTGGAACAGTCATATCCTCTACATGTTGTTATACTTTTAAAATTGTATATTAGGTGGAGAACCGCTGGATTGCGGGCACAAGGAGGATGCTAAAACTACGATGATGAAACTGAAACTCTTTTTACTCTGTGGATATGACAAGTATCTCCGTCCCGTTGAGTACCACACAAACAAAACCTCTGTGGGGATAATTGTTGCTCCTCGCATAATAGATTTTGTAAGTATATTACATTACCAATTGAGATGGAAGCACAACTTGAGTGTATTTTAACCCAAATATGAGTGAAGGATGAGCGTAGACTGGAGTAGGATGTTTTTGTTGCTTCGTCACTGACTAAGAGCAACTGTTTCTTAAGCATGGGCCAATCCAGCCAATTTGAAAGGGAAAGGGCTGTTTTCAATTATTACTTTCATGGGTTTGGGGTATGGTATCCTTGCCAGCAAAAATGTTGAACATGATGTTCAGCATGATATATACACACAGACACTGATAAAACATTTCACCTGAGACAATTCTATCCATCTGACTGTATAGGCTATATAATTATATGCTACATGCAAAATTTGTAAATAATTACTAATTAAGCGTTTTATTTAACTACACCCCAATATAAGCCAAATTATAAAGTGCTAAACAAGATGTTTTTAACCTATTATTTTTATTTTAGCCTCATTTTGTAATGAAATGTATAATCGATATATAAAATTGTATACTTAAAACTGATTTCAGGATGATGTTACCAGCACACTCCGTGTGAAAACTTGGCTAAGTTTGGTAAGCTGTAATCAAATTGTGTTTTCTTAATATAAACTCACTTGTTCAAAAGGTCCGGTACTAGTTGTCACACTTCTCTGTATGTAGAGTCTCCAGACACCCGGCAGTTAAGGTCCCTAAAACATATCTTATACAGTATACAAAATAGGCAAGCACGATTTTGTCCTGCTCCACGGTTTCTCAATCGATTGTGTTAGTTTACGGCTCATTTGTAAGATCTCATTGAGTAAATGTCATATTGTATAAGGTCTGAAATGTTTAAAACGTCCCTTGGGGTCTGTCCCAGTGGCCTTTTAGCAACATATATTAACATGGATCCTCTTATGGATTTTTCATTCTCTTAATCATCTGAAGATAATTTTGAAGTATCTTTGTGTAGAGATTATATTGTTTGTATTTTTTATTCAACCAATAAAACAATGCCGCTAGTTTCGGCTGCAGCCGTCACAGTAATGGAGGTGTCAGGGCTACCAACTTTAGCATTTCTTTAGTGCAAGGCCAATGCTACTGATTAATATTAATTAACATTTTAAACCTTGATCAACCCTGCCAACATAACATGTTTTCACCCATTAGCATTGCATTTGTATGTACCGGTAACACCAATTTGAATTTTCCAGAACTGGAAGGATTCTCATCTCACGTGGGACAAGCTGCTCTATGATGGGATTGATCAGTTCACATTGGACTCAAGTTTTATTTGGGTGCCAGACCTTTCAGTCTACAATGCGTGAGTTGCTTTATGCTTTAACGTCCAAGAAATCGGATGGAAGACATATAACTATCTAAACAAATCTGAAATTGTTTGAATCACCACCTTCTATGAAAGAGTAATTCAGCAAAATGGTTTGGATTGTACATCAACAATTCAATGCTTGCAAGATGAAGGGGCGTAAGTACATATGAGGAAAATCAGCTTCAAGGATGAAATTAAACAACACTACATACCACATGATGATTTTTTTTTTAGGGGTTTATTTCTAGGATTATGAAAGATTTTATCTTAGAATATATCCATTACCCTCAAGAATGGCTTGAATACTGAAATAACCGTTTTGGACTTGATATTTATTTACTTTTGATTTTCGCACACCACTACATTTACTCTTACTGTTTGTAGCAAGGATGAGACGGACACCTCCCTAGACCAACAAGTATCTCCTGTGATGATTCACCACCACGGAGAGGTCTACGCCTTCATGTCCCCTGTGTTAGCTGGGCACTGTGTGCCTAACTGGTCCAACTGGCCTTACGATGTTCACCAGTGCACCTTGACTCTAGGATCCAAGCGCTATCTCGGATCTACGGTGGACTTTACCTTTTTAAACAAAGAGGTGACTTAGTTGCTAATAATCTTCATTTTGAATGAAAAAAACTGATTGGCTTATTGGGATTTAATCGGGTTTTGGGCTACACTGTACTTAACAAAAGGACGACATTAACAGGGGGCACCACCTAGATGCATATTTTATGTTCACTTAAAGATGAGTGAAAGCTGAGTGTAGAATGAAATGAGATGCCTTGTCTAGCTTTGTTTCTTACTAAGATCAGCTGTCTCATTAGCCAGGACCATTTACTAAAACTAAAAGCCCAATAATTCCCAAGGACAGCTGGGTCCAGTTTCAATCCATGAAAAATCTACTAACATTTCTCAGGATCGAACCGACGACCTTTTGATTGCTAGATGAGCATCATAACTCCTAAGCCTCATTTAAAAGGAACTAAACACTTTGGGACGTTTCCTAACCAAAATCATTAGAAAATGATTTTGAATGTTGAAATTATAAAATAATTAACCATTTACTGGAATGAAGTCATCCTTTCAAACTTGCACATTGTGTTCAAGCAGGGGTTGTGGTTGAAGTATCTTCTGCCTAATAATGAGTGGGAACTTATCAAGACCAACACGACCCGCAACGAGACGGCCCTCGGACCCAAGAATGAGACAGATTCTTTGTTTCTGGTGTCGCTCAACTATGACTTTACTTTGAGGAGACATGCGTCTGTCTACGTAGCAACTTACCTCATCCCTGGTCTAGGTGAGTTCAACAATCTGAAAAAGGTTTGTTATTGATTCAATTTTACTTTAGCGCTTTCCTGTGATGACTATCCTTTCCCATATTGTATGTGGAATAAATAACAGGTTTATGCATTTTTTTTATTTTGATGGTCTCTGTTATATTTTCTGACTCCTCGTTATGGCCTATTCTTGTCTATCAGTTAATTGAGAGGAGGATTTTAACAACAGTCCTATTTTAACCCCAGTAAAAACGAAGGATTAGAGTAGAAGAGTGAGACATATTGTGTAGATTTTTTACTGACGAAAAAAGCATGTTGTTCTGCTAGTATATTATTTATTGAAAACAACAACCCAATAATCAAGCACGGCTGGGATCAGTGTCGAACCGGTAAAAATCTATTGACTTTTCTCATACCGGTAAGGTTATGTTTAATAAGAAATAAACTTAGAATTTGTGCATAAAAAATACATAAAATTAAATGCGCCTAAAACCACGTCCACCTTTAACTCCAGGCAGCGGCATTCGAAGTGGCAACATCGCAAGTAGTGTTATAACAGCTGTTTTGTTTGGAGGCAGCTAATGGTATTTGTGTATTTTTTAAGAATACAAAAGCTTGGTTACTGTACTGGGCTATGAAAATATTGACTCCACTTTAAATGTACAGAAATAGATTTTCAATTTATATTGTTTTGGATTTCAATTCTACTGTATATGTTTTACTAAAATATTTTAATACATAAATGTTCATTAATTAAAATTAAAAATACGCAAATTAATGAGCTGGTGTCACATGTCTGCCATGTTGTCTTATGGAACGTCTGGCACTAAATAACACTATTTACTTCTACTTGCGACATTGCCAATTCTACCAGGCCGTGGCCTGGAGTTAAGGGTGGCCGTGCCTAAAACTATGCAGATATGAAAAAAAACTTGATCCAGATTTTTCTTATCAAAGGTTTCCATCCTTCTCTAAAGCCGTGTTTATACCGCAGTTTAAAACAATTGTTTAAAACCAGTGTTCACAACAATCAAAAGAAAGTTAATTTTCATTGATAATGACAAATCACAATAAAAAACAAATTCAGCGTTCAAAACAAGAATTTGGTTTTCCACAAGAAGTTGACAATAGACCAAAGAGTGTTGTAAACTTTAGGGTCACAGTTACCATTTGTTGACAACACACTACAAAAAACCACGTTTACTCTGACGTTCATGACAAAATGTTAAACAATTTTGTTGGCAACAGCTGATATTAACAAAAGTCTTACTGCATGTGTGTTTTGTTGTTAAGCCCTACCTAACTGCAGTTCCAAAAAAAGTTTTAGACCAGCTGTTTCTTTAAATAGGATCAATAGAAACAATCTAATGGTTAAGGTGAGTCAGTGGCTTAGTCTTTAGCTCCACAGCTTCGGGCTCAAGGCAGCAATGTTGTGGGCTTGGATTCTGGTAGCTGCCACTCCTTTTTATCAGTACAGTTCAACCTTGGACTTCCTTGTTAGATACATTCCACGCACAGGCCCCTGCATATGGACAGGCAAATGTAAGGTAAAAGATGCTGCCAACCTCTCAAAAAAAAAGGACAGCTGGTTCCAGTTCATTATCAAATCTACCAACCTTTTTTTTTAGATCAAACTGGCTACCAGTGCCTTCTGGTTGTTAGGATAGCACTGTAACCACTCAGCTACCTTCTATATACGATTGTAATTATAATTATACATCCTTTTCAATAGTTATCTGTACTATCACAGATTGTATAATGTTTCAGTGATGGTGATGATGTCACTGGCTCTTCTATGGATTCCCCCAAACAGATCTGGTAGAATGGCCATTCTATGTACTCTAGTATTCCTTCAGTCAATCAGTCTTCAATATCTATCCTACAAGATACCTGCCAATGGAGACACAACACCTTATCTTGGTAACTCAACTACATATTGTATCACAGCGGCTTTATGACTATTCATAGTCATAGACCATTCTTGTTATAACTTTAGTTAGTTTTAGAATAAAATAGACTTAGTTGAATTGAGCTAGCAACAGAGTGCGCTGATGTAAACCACATATTTATGTTGAATATGTAAACCTTTTAACTTCACTAAGGTATAGGTATAAGGAGAACTTACATCAATCTTGCATCATTCTATCATAGTATCAAAAACTACGGGAGAAAATCATTTATCTATTTGAATACACACTTGGCTACATGTGGTGCATGCAGATGGGTTGTCTACTTCATTTTTAAAAGTCAATTCAAATTCACTTTATTGTCACTTAAAAACATTTGTACATAGCAAAGCTATGAAAATTGTGACATTGTCAATTCAATTTAAACCTAAAAATACAATTAAGTTACAGAACATTTTTGTCTGACTCTAAAACAACAATTACATATAACAATGCTGCTTAATTTTGTAAAAAGTCACTTACAGAGTAAAATACTTGGTTTAAAAGATAACTTTTTAGAGAATTCTTAAAACTCTTTAAACGGATTTGGCTTTTAATGTTTGTCGGTAGATTATTAAAGAACTTCATACCCATGTAACTAGGGCCCTTTTCATAGATTGTTAAGTTATGTATTCGGTATTGAAAATTGTCTTTGCACCTTGTGTTGTATGCATGTAAATGCTGCTGTCCACAAAGAAGATCAAAATTCTTCTGAATGAACAGTAAGCATGAATATATATAGAGAGAGGGAAGGCTCAATAATCCTAACTGTTTAAAGATTGGCTTGCATGAGACTCGTGGCCGCAAAAATGTCATGATAGCTGTTATAGGCTAATTAATCTACTTGTTGAGGTTAAATCTGTGGACCTTATTTAATTATAAGACTAATAATGAATGTCAAGAAGACCTAGATCCTGTAGAAGACAATCAAGAGCTTGAAGAAAATGTAAATATAGAAGAAAATACAACTAATATGAAACTAAGAAACCGAAACCAACTAAGAAGACCTGTAAAATTAGACAACTATGAAGTTAATTTTAATTTAAGAATAATAATTGAGTTAGGGTATTATATTTTTATATTGCTTTAACACTACTTGAAATGATTAGGGAATTTTAGAGAGGAGAGAATAGTTTTAGGCTTGATGTATAATGGAAAAGGATAGAGATTTACCTTGAATAGTTATATCTTTCTAATCTTGATTCTAGTCTTGAGCTTAATAGTGTTGAAGAAAGAGAAAATCCTTTATAACTTTTAAGATATACTTACATAATCTAGAGAAAATCACCATTAAATAAAAGTAAAAAGATTGAGGACAAAACTTAGATGTATTTCTTGACCATTTTTCACAATAATAATAATAAAAACAACAAGAATCACATGTAGTAAAAAATTGAAAAACCCAAAAACATGTGTTGGAGACAGACTAAAATAAAATAAACCATAGAATACTAAACATGCCGGGCCCCTTGAACCGCAGGTTCAATGAATTAATTTAACAAATGAGTACAGAAACAGCAATTAAAACAGAGAAAGTTAAAGCAACAAAAGGGGCGGAACTGTAATAAAATTTAGTCTTCAAGTACAGGCAGTGGGAAAACCTTGATTGCCGGTCTAGTGAGAAGTCCATTCTTCGTACGCACAGTCACAACTCTTGTAATGTTATCTGAACCAGGGTGAGTTTCAACAATTCTAGCCAGTGGCCAACACATTGGAGGTGTAAGGATGTCTTGAATCACAACAAGATGAAGGTAGTCTCCATCGATGCCATCTTTGGAGTTTATTCATCGTATGAGGTGTACTATGCAGAAAGTATCCAGGTGTTGGTGTTGATAGGTCTGATGGATCTTCTGAAAGAGGAGTTACAAGACGAGGTTTCTGGAATGCTTCTTTGTAATGAGGTTGAGTTTTAAATTTCTCTTCTGGTATAAATAATCTTGTTTTGGTGTTGTTACTAGAGTTGCCGAGATGATGGTGATTAGGTTTGAATGGCAGCCTAACACAGTATCTGGCAGAGGGTTCTCTAGATTGTGTTTTCACTAAATGTTTTTTATTTGAAACTTTATCTGGACTCTTTGGTCTGTCTGGGAGGTTCTTCATGCTGCCAATACCGTTGTAAAGAGGAATGAAGATCAAATTCAGAGACATTTAACATAGTTGTGAGGCGAGAAGAATCTTTGTTATATTTAGAATTACTCTTACATGGAGCATGTCCCATGAGAGTGTAACCAAACACTGTGTTCATTACAAATGGTAGGTTAGGCCCAAGTTGTCGTTTCTCTCCTGTGAAAATGAATGGGAATAAACCCCCACCTAGTAAAACGTCAACAGGCCCAGGGCGGTGGAAAGTAGGGTCAGCTAGGGTATACGGTTTCACTATTTCCAATAAATTTGGATCAAGAGGAGATCTTGGCATGTCCGAGGTAATCTTATCCAAAATCAACATTGGATGATTTTCTGAAACTTTGTTCCCACTTAGTGTTTCGATGTCCACATAGCCCATTCCCTTTGGGGATGTACCTAAGAGACTGATTGATTCCATTAAGACGAAGAGTTGACTTTTGACGTTTAATTCCCAACAGTTGGGCTGCTCTTTCTGTCATGAAATCACATTGACTGCACGAGTCGATTAGAGCTCTGAAGACATGAGCAACACCTTGCTTAGAGACCAACTTTACCAATACAGTTGCTAATAAAACAGTGGTGTTCTTTTGAGGTCGAGAAAAATTTGTTGATACTCCAACAAATTCATTTTGACTTTGAGATGAAGATGAACATGATACAGCATTTCTTGATGTGAGGTCTTTCGATGGTTCTAAATGTAACAGGGTGTGGTGATTTTTATGACATTTAAAACAAGAGTTTTTCGATTTGCAGATACTGACTTTGTGATTTCCAAGACAAGAGAAACAACGTTGCTTGGATTTTATTAGTTCATACCTTTCTTGAGGAGATTTTCCTTTGAATAAAGTACAGGAATATACTTTGTGTCCAGGTTTAGAGCAAACGAAGCAAGGGAAATCACTGGAGCTTTGTGTTGATGCAAGGGTAAATGGTCTGGGATGAGTCATTTCATTTTTGCGATTGAAGTTGGACAAAGGTGGGATATTTGAGTGAGGTTTAACCCATTTACTACTATTGGGTGAGTGCATGGACACATCTTCAGCATGTGCACAATGATTTGACAGAAAAGTTATTACCTCATTGACTGAGGGCAGGGATTCAGAGTCATTTCTTGAAGATTTATTTAACAATTTTGAGTCTATTTTTCGTAAAAGCATTGATGCTAAGAGAGGGTTGTTTTCCACTACATCACAGCCTAATGCTGTTAGAGCTTGGGAATTTTCATTAAAAGAGTTTAGCAAGTTTCTGAGATCCTTAGTAGAGGAAAAACTAACACTAGGCAAATCAATGATTTTATTGATGTGGAGAGATGAAAGCCTTCGCACTGAATGGTAACGATCCCGCAACATGTTGTACGCGATGGTGTAGTTTGCTTCAGAGATGGGTAGGGATTTGACCAGATTGAGTGCTTCACCAGATAAAGTACTAAGTAGATATTGAAATTTAGCCACATTTGAGAGAGATGAATTTGAATGAATTGTGGTATCAAAGAGGTTGATGAAGGCTATCCAAGTTTGAGAGTCACCATTAAAGTTTTTTAATTCTATTTTCGGTAAGCGCACCACAGACATGTTAGAGTGTTCCCGTTCATTGAGATGAGAGGTAATAGATTGATTGCCATCATTGCCTTTACCTTCCAAAAGATAAGCATTTATTTTACTTTCTATGCTGATACAAAGTTCATTTATTTCCTCCTGTCGATCAATCAGATCTTGTTCATCATAGTCACCAGACAGAGTAGGCACGTCCAGTAATTTTCTAATGTGTTCATTAAATTCACACCGCTTTTCATTGACTTCACTTTTATAGGAATTAACCTTTTGTTGATCAACTAATTCAACATGATCATTTTCTGTTATAGTGTCAATAAATGAAAGAATATTATTGAGATGAACTTTGATTACGTTAGAAAATCTGACAAAGGTTTGATACTTCATTTTGTATATTAAAGGAATGAACTAGTGAGCTGATTGAAGAAATGAGGTTGTAAAGGCAGAGATAGAAAGGGGTAGTAATATTGTTACTAAGGCAACAAAATCAAACATTCCAATTTGTCAGTGTAAACATTAGTAGATTTTAAAGATTCAATTTTGAATATCTTGATGAAATAACAAATAATAATGTACAATATTAGTAGTTTTGAATATCCATATTCTTGATTCTTTCATCCGAGGCTCGAAGGACCAATGAAATGATTAGGGAATTTTAGAGAGGAGAGAATAGTTTTAGGCTTGATGTATAATGGAAAAGGATAGAGATTTACCTTGAATAGTTATATCTTTCTAATCTTGATTCTAGTCTTGAGCTTAATAGTGTTGAAGAAAGAGAAAATCCTTTATAACTTTTAAGATATACTTACATAATCTAGAGAAAATCACCATTAAATAAAAGTAAAAAGATTGAGGACAAAACTTAGATGTATTTCTTGACAATTTTTCACAATAATAATAATAAAAACAACAAGAATCACATGTAGTAAAAAATTGAAAACCCCCAAAACATGTGTTGGAGACAGACTAAAATAAAATAAACCATAGAATACTAAACACTACTCATCTCAATTTATAAAAGTGTTTGACTCTTTATAAAAAAAATATGATAGTTTTATGGACTTAGTGTTCCGTCACAGTGAACTTGATCTTAAATATAACTATATAACTAATTGAGTGATAGCAACATGAAAGATCAGTTAGTCTAAAACCATCTATCATCCCCCTCATCTAAAACCCATTTTCTTCTATCCTTTTCAATAAGAGAACCAACAACAAGAATTTGGTTTTATCATAAACAATTAATTGCAATATCCTAGGAACCAAATTTAAGGCTGATTACGAAGGTGCATTCAATGAACGAAAAGGTTATAACTGTCGAGATAATATCGGTTTATAAGTTATTAATCTTGTATTTACCCTATAAGCAACTGCCTACAGTGACTTTTCTTTTTACATACCCCATTTTTAAGCCAGAGCTTTTAAGGCCAATGTGTGTGACCTAAGATTTACATAACCAAACTTCTATGATCTGATCTATGCTAGTATTACTAAACAAAGAGCCTTATGCTTTGCCTAGCATGTACTGTAGCTTGGGAACCATTCTAGACTGCTAGGTCTGATCTGAAGCCAAGGTGAACTGAGGTCTGGTAAGCAACTCACTGATTATGACCAGGCTTGGTGAGAGGCCCAAAATGTTGTTATGTTGTGTCGGAGGTGGGCCTGGCCAGACTGATGAGGTCACCACCCCAACGTGTGACTCATGTTAAGAAGAAAAGCAACCAGCTAGTTACAAAAACCAGTGACAACAAACCGTGTGTCAACATGTCTCAAAAGGCAAGAGTGACTTAACTCAGTCTGACCCATCTCCTACTCCATCTCTTGAGAGAGGCCCACCAAAATAATTGTAAGGATCGGGTGGAAGTTGACAGAATGTATGAATTTATTGTGGGTTGAGTTGCACCTCAAAGGAGACTTTTTGCTACTTCATACTGTGTGTGTATTCACTGAAAACTTTTTTCAAAAGTATTTGGATTTTTCCGTCCATAATATGAAGATTACTATACTGGTACTAAAACCAATTAAAGCATTGCATAATCTGAATCTCTAGGTTGAAAGGGTTAGTGCTTGGTGTTGACATGAAGTTATGTGCATGTTTCAGTATGTTTCTTCAGGGACTGTCTGTTCTTGACTGGTCTACTAGTGATTCAGACAATCGTCAATCGGAGGTTGACTACTTGTACGTCAAACCCTTCATATTTGCAGAGTACTTTCAGATTTGTGGCAAGCAACAAATACCTACAGGTTTTACTCGTTAATGATTTAGATCCAAAGGTGAGTAATTAAAAGGTGTTTTAAAGATAACGAAACAGTTAGTAGTGTAGGTGAAAATTTTAAGAATCAAGACATTTAGTTCAATGTTCATCAACAGCTTATACCTTTAAACTGCATCAAAATTAAGAGCAGATTTTGTTTGTGGGCTGGCATGTTTAAAGCAAATTTGAACATAAAATAATGACTGTAATCGAGAGGTATATAAATAGTTATTGAAGATTGCCCCTATACATTTAGTATATCTCACTATTTTATCACCATAATCTTTGCCCAAAAAAAATCCTCATTAAAAAAATAAGAAAAAAATAAGAAATTTTGAATTTTGAAACCGAAACCAAAATTTTAAAAAATCAATCCTAAATCTCAAAACCTAAACACTCAACTTTTTACCTGCCTGGGTAAAGTTACAAAAAATACTGGTAACACTAAATAAAAAAATTAACTCCTAATAGTGTCAATAATTTACATAAATACAACATCAATTCAAATTGGTGGTTAGTATTTATTCAATGAATATAACCATATTGTGCATACGATTTTGTTGTATTAGTCAAATACCCCCTTACTTTACCTTTAGTTATTTACCTTTTGCAGTTCAAAATTTGAACAAGATGTAAAATTTTCTGTTCAGAATGCTGCTAAACTGATGGACACAGGCAATGACGAGGGGTCCACATTGGTTGCAGCTGATGAAAACGTCCAACAATGGCAGATGTTCGTCAACATCATCGACAGAGTGTGTTTTGTCCTCCTAGTCCCCATCTACCTCCTCCTGTCAATAAGCTTGATGCCTGCAAATTATTCCTTCACTAAAAACTGAAACGGATGTGAAATTTAAACTTTTATGTCAGCAATATTTGCTTTAGAAGTTAAATTCGTTAGGTGCACTTGTGTTTGATTTTTATTTACCTTGTTGACTTTCAGTTAGAACCGAAACTTTATTGTTACAATTTTATGTAACTTTTTCCACATCAGAACTCGCAAAATGATATCAAGATCTATAAATAGCCAAACTCATTTATACGTATATCATTTTCAGATAAAAGATCTGCTTGAATTTAAACTTCAAACAACACCCAGTTACATCAGTAACGGCAATTATGTTTATTGATTGAAAAACATTTTGTTCTAAATGAATCACCAACTTAAATTACTAAATTATTATTGATTGAACAACTGTGACTTGGTACTATACTTTGGTCACAATATTTAGGCGGTGTTAGGGGAATAAATATACCCCCTCCACTTGACTTGACCCTTACCGCCTTACCTTTAAAATAATAGCTCAACAGCTGATTAAGCAACAAACAAAAAAGTGGTGGGGTAACTTCCCCTCAAACCGCCTAAATATTGTGAAGGAAGTATAACTGGGCAGATAAGGCAGACAATAATGCAGGTTCAAAACCAGTCCCCAACACTATGTTGTCACTGGCTTGCCCATATGATGCATTCCATAACACTACCTAATTCACTGTCTTATATTCTTAACTCAACTCCATAGTCAACTAGCACTGACTTTTGTATACTGAAGTTGGCATCCCATTTATCAGACATAAGACGTTTATTTGTCATTTTTACATTTTTACATGCAAGGACAAGTCAAGTTGTTTTCATACAATTGTATGCGTCACATATTCAATGTGAATACAGACCAGCTGGTACAAGTGTTTTTATTAAAAAATAAAAAGAACTTAGTTGAATTACAGAGTGTGCTAGTGTCTAAAATTCTGGTGTCTACCCAATTTTTTTACTGAGATATGAAAGATGCTATAGCTTACAATAAGTCGTCAAGTTTGGAATGGTTAAAAAGTTTGCATATCCGACAGAAAACAGTATTTTACATCAGTGTAATCTGGTGGTAATGTAACTCACTTTAACTACGTTGATTTTTAAAACTGGTGACAACTTAGGGACAAAAAAACACAGTGATGAAATGTCTAGCTTTATCAACAGCCAAAGCCAGTTGTAACAGAAAGCCAGCCTATGGTAACAGAAAGTTGGACAAATTGGAAGACAATTTACCAAAATGAGACAATTTTAAATAGAAACATAATGGTAACATTTTATTCACAAAGCTACATAACGAACACTTCCTCTCCTAATCATTTTCTTCTTCTCGTCCATGGAAGCTGCCAAATCAGCCTGTATCTGCACAAATGATCGGCCCTTGGTCTCAGGCAAGATGAAATACATGACAGCCAGTCCACACAGAGAGAACCCGGCATAGATGAGGTAGTTGAGATAGACTCCGAAATTCGACGCAATCACTTCGTACAGCTTCATGCAGAGGAGAGACGCAAATGTGTCAGTCAGAGTGGTGATAGCTAGAAAGTAATTCAATGTTAGAATTGAAACATGGAAGATTAATTAATACAAATAAAGAACAGGAAAGAAAAGTGCAAGTTTAATGAGCTTGGTGGCCTCATATTAACCTTGCATTTGCCTGTCTATGTGGGACTGGCTTGTGTATGGGACATATCAAAGGGAAGTAAGTAAGGTACAGAGGAAACATTTAATGGTACGCTTAAGCACTAATCGCTGGTGTCTAGGGAAAAGTGCACTACTGCCCCCTCGCCCTCATGTACAACAACTCTCTCGGTGGAGGAAGGCTCTGTGCGATAGGAATTTCTGCACAGTACTCACCACTCTGGCTCTTTTTTGCTCGTCACAAATATATTACCGCCACAAAACACTGGAGTTGAAAGCAAACAATCGTTCTATAAGTATGTTTGTATCTGGGAATTTCTTCTCTGTGGACATATCAAACCCAGAAAGGAGTGGGTTGATGTTGATATATCTCAAGAATAATCCATAAAAATAAATATTTTAGTGGTGGACAGAAACCCCAAAATCGCTGCCATGAATTTGTAGTTTGTTGCACTAGTGACTGAGCCAGTGACTCATCTATACAGGTATAAGGGAAAAGATATGAGAATGAGAAAGTATAAGGAAAATAAACAATTGATGAGATGATAAATTAAATCAAATCTTGATTCAATAACAAAATTTCATTTTGCAAACACCAGATATACTTTTATGAGCTTCAAAACCTATGGATTACCTATGGATTCAAAGGGGTACGGATTGCTATGTTGAAATCCATTTCAAGTTTCTATTACCTGAAGCCATCCCCCTCGTGTTTGAAGGGAACAGTTCTGCCTGCAACACTGGCACTAGTGGCCCTACACCAAGACTAAACACCACACAGTATGCTGCCACACTGCCAAACGCAACCCAACTGTAACTGCTCACGTCCACTGTCGTGCGTTCGTCCAGGTAGTAGTACAAGGCGGCTAGGAGCTCAAACACCCCACAACCTGCCGCACTTAGAAGTATCAATGGCCGTCTTCCAGCTCCGTCCACTGAAAATAAAAATGCAAGATCTTATGGTTTTTCATGAGAGGAATTCTCAAATACATGTGTTGAGATGGTTAGTGTATCGAACTTCCATGTGAGAGGGCAAGGTCAATCCCCACGATATCCACAAAAATGTGATGAGTTTCAGTTTGGACCACTTTTCCTCAAAACGTTTGTTGTGCCTTTATTGAAAATACCACTGGCGTTAATAATGATAAAAGTACAGACACAGTCTCCTCGTCCAAAATGTATCTTTTTTCTGTTTGTGGGAACTGCAGTTTAAGGTGAGCTTTGAGCCGGGATTATCACATTCAAATTGCTATTGGTGATTAATGAGACTAGAAACACGGGCCTGCTGGACAGAAGTCTGCGCTAAACAAATACCAGCTGCGCCCCTCTGACAAAACAAAACAGGTATGGTTTTAGGTGTTTTATTTTTACCATGAAATGAAATTTCTTCTTTAATTGTCTAGTAACCGGGAGGTAATAGTGCTTTCTTTCAAATCTGAAGGTCCCTGGTTCGATTTTGGAGCAAAACATAATTAATTGTTTGTGAGATAGGGGTTAATGTTGTTATCTAACAAAAGGTTGATGTTAGATGGTAACAAGAGGTGGACTGTTCTCATGCAAAAAAAGGAAAAAAATTGCATGGATAAAAATGTAAAAATACACATTTAAACTTTTGTTTATTAGCCTGTGAACTGATGAACACTTTAACAACTTTTACATTAATAATGTTTGCTTGGTAATTTAAGTGTGATTTTAATATTGAACACTTCACGGTAACGCCAAGTGAATTAGGCTAACAACAATTTTACTTGGCATTGAAGTTGAAAACCCAAATAAACATTTATTATATATCACTAGCAATAACCTGTTACTTAACATGATGGAATGTTCTTATACAGAAGAAAAGGCCATTTGAAAATTTAATTTACAAAAAAACAATCTCACCAAAAAAAGATGCGGCCAAAGTGCTGAGAAGAATCAACGATCCCATCAAAATGGTGAACTGATCTGGAGTGAGGAAGGACCTTTCCAGACAAAATGAAAGGTCAACAAAAGGAAATGACATAAACATAAAAAAAATCTACCCTTAATACAATTGAAAACAAAACAGTTACTTTATGTAGTCCAGCCAAAAAAAAAAGAGAAAAAAATTCATGTATATGCCAAATTTGGTACAGTTGTAGGGCAAGGGTCCTTAAACAACATACTAAAAGTACTGATCGGTAGGGGTGGAGCTAAGGGGGCTAGGGGACTTTAAAGGACCCTTTTTTAGATTTTTTGTAATCCAAATATTTTATTTTACTTCATTTTGGGAGGTGTACATGATCATTGGTCTGAAATCTTTCCCATTAGGCAAGTCGTTTCAGTACCTTCCTGCCGATACTAATAACTGTCTACTGTAGGCTAACTTTCCTGTCTACTCTACTAATAACTCAATCCTGGCTTGTGGCGAATAACAAATTAATGGCCTTCGCTTAGTAATTTAATATAATATTAATTTTGTTGGTTAAAGGGAGAGCTTGTTGCTGTTCAAATTGTCTCCTAATCTGACTTCAATAACCTACATATTTTTTTGTAACAAGGAGGCGATCCTTATGATCCCAACAATTAAAAAATTTTACAAAACTTCTTTGGTATATGAATTAAAATTTTGCCTGTTAGTTGTAACAATGTGATAGGCTAACAAATTTTAATGTAGTTGTACGGTAATATTAAATACCTTGTGGCACCGTTGAAAGTCTGTGAAGAATAAGACAACACTGCTCCAATACCACTCATGAACTTTGTGATTGTCGCTACTTGAACTATAAAGAACGCTCGACGGTTTACTCGCGTTGCAAACACATCCTTCCAAGACTGCTTCTGTCAATTTCATTCTGGTTAATGAAAATAAACAAGAAGGTAAATTATTTTGTAACAAACTTTATTGGAAAAAAATGTGTTTTTAGAAACTGCGTTCTCAAATACTTTTGACTGAATTTTACTATAATTTGTGTATTTATCTGTAGCGTCAACTTAGCACAGCTGTATATTCCTTATTTTATTTCAATATTTAACACCATCTAGCGGAATTCACATTATATGACAAAAGGGCTGTACAGAAACTTAAGTATAATTTTAGGGGATGCGGCTGTTCTGAATTGTATTGCTATTAAATAACACAATTTTCAACATTACTTTCCGCTACCAGTATACTACAAAGACTAATATAATACATTTCAAAGCTTATAGAATTTTTTAGGTTAGGCTTTCTATTTAAATTTAAAACCATAGAGTCCATTTCAGTTGATGAAACAATAACAAATGTTTATTACTTTGTTTGTTTATGTCCGAAAACTAAAAAAAGATAGTAAACATTACAAAACATTGTTTTTGCGTTGTAAACATAATTTTTGCGTTGTAAACATTATCTTTGTGAAGTAAACAATGCAATAATGCATTACAGATTGTGCTGGATTTTTTCAGTTTGAGTTGAGAATTTGCTTAACACCAGCCATGAATTAAAACTGTAAATAAAGCGGTGCCTATGTGATTTAAGTACCGGTATGTTAATTAGAAATTTAGTTCAAAAATAAAAGGCCTACTTACTTGTGATTTCATTTCATTCTCTACAGATTCTTCTATCTCTTTCAATTCTTCCTCTACAAGAACATGCCCTCGTAACCACGCAAGTGACTAGACAACAGAGGAGGGCAATACAAATTAACTTTGGATTTCCTCGTAAATAAACTACAAAGACAGCAACACAACCCAGGTGGGTGTTTTTAACAAAATATGACTTGAAATGAGGCGTAGAATGGATTGAGATGATCTCTGCTTTATTACTGACTAAGATCAACTGTTTCTCTAGCCAGGCCCATTGAAAGCCCATGATTGAGGACGTGACCATTTTGGAACCATTAAAAATTTACTGACTTTTCATGAGATCGAACCAGCGATCCTTTGATAGCTAGGCGATAACCAATCAAAACTTTTAGTAATATAACATCATTAGAACATTGGTATTAAACACTTTAAAAGATTTTTTATGGAATATATGCAACATAAAAATACCCCCGCCGCAGCAAACCTGCAGACTAAGCGAATTTCAACTCGTCTGATTACATTTTTACTAAAATATTTCCATAAATAAGACATATTATTCCCTATTTAAATAACATTAGATTTAACGAGTGCTTAGGTTTGCTGCTACGGGGAAGGTAAAAAGTGTTTTTTGACCATACGTCAATAGTATAGGATGAAATAAATAAATTTGCAAAATTTTATCAATATATACCCATAAACAAGTAAACTACAACAATTTTCATTTTCTCCATAAGAATAACATGGGAATTTTTAATTACACTATTTTTGAATTTTCTCCGTGACCGTTAGGCATACAACAGCGCTTCAATATACTAAATTATTTCTTTTTTTAAGCTCTACAAAAAGGTTTAGAAAGAAATCGCAAAATTTTTTGTTTTTAGGTTCAAAAATGGGAAAAACCCATTTTTACCCCATAAAACCCCCCATAAACCCCCGTTCCCATGGTCCGATTATGCTGGATCGCGAACTCGTTCGAATAAACGTAGGTTTACACGTTTTTACCAAATTTCATCAAAATCGGATCATTTTTGCTCGAGTTATCGCGCTAACGGACACATATATATATATATATATAAATATATATATAAATATAATATATATATATATGAATTTGAACGGATGGTGTTTTTGGCCTCTAGGGACCTCAAAACGAAAAATTAAATCGGTCTCGGGTCCAGGTCTTACCATGAGTACTACGGTAATAGCTTATTCCCTATATGGGAAATTCGCTAAAAATAATAATATCATATATACAATACAATACAATGATATATTTTAGTTATGAACTAAAAGATTTAAGGTTCAAGTGCAAAAAAATAGATAATAGTAAACCATTAATTTTGTTATGCTTAACTTATGCTACAAACCTTTTCAGCCTGGTCTCTGTCGCGAACCATGGCGAAGAAGTAAGGTGATTCCGGCATGAAGATGAATGTGATAAGAAACACCACAGGAACCACGAGGGAAGCGGCCGATAGTTCTTGATAGGACAGTGAAGGTCCGAGGCAATACTCCAGCAGAATCCCTAGACACCACATACCCTCGAAGAAGGTACTAATGGCCCCTCTGATCTTCGGCTCTGCAATCTCCCCCAGATACATAGGAAGAACTGTGTACACTATGCCCATACCAAAACCTTGGAGAATCCTGGAAATTGAATAAATTTAAGGAATTGGAGAAATCATTTTAATGTCTTAAGAGCTACGGAATGACTTTTTTTGGGGAGAAGTACGGCTACCTCTAGCTACCTTTCATAGAAACACTAGAAATCCTTGTCTGTTAGTCATAAGATTTTAGCCAATCATAACAGTTTTTAGCCGATTTCTCTAATTTAATTTGGCCTTATAGTCCCTATGGAAAATCAATTGTAAATGAAACTCTCACCAAAAGTTCAGTAGACAAGACATAGTAACTTTCTATTAAGGCAATTATTTAACTATTAAGCAAATTAATACACATTTACCTAACATTAGGAACAACATTTTCTGTTGTTCAGTTGTAGCAGAAACCGCTGTTTTCAAAACATGTGAGACTGTGAAATATGTAGCCTACAGTAGTTCTTTTTATCCCAATAGTGGAAAAAATTAATCAGGATGGAGTCAAAGACATCAGCTTTCTTCATTAATATCATCAGCCGATTTTGATAGAAGAAAATAGTTCCAACAAATAAATATAGCCTATTATTTTGCTATTCTACTGTTGATCTAGAAATGGAAAACAAATAGATTTAAATATAAATACGATGCTATTAAGTTACATTACCTCACAAAGTATAAAATAGGCAAAGATCTAGTTGTAAGCACAAGTATCCAGCTGACAATATACATTGGGGATGTATACAGCAACAGAGGTTTGCGTCCAATGGTGTCTACAAAATAAGCAGCGGGCAGTGGAGAAAACAAATCCCCAAGCTCTACAAGCAGGCATTTTTAAACCATTAGTAAAAAAGAGATCAAATAACATAGGCCTAGGCTATGTACTGAAATGGGCATATTAGTACCAGAACCTTCAATTCCCAGATTTGTAGTAAGTAGTAATCTATATTATTAAAAGAATTTGTTGAATTTTTGTATGCAGCAAATCGACCCCTAAATATTTATTTTGATCGACATATTGGGTATCAATTTAAAGCTCTTATCCTCTAGGATGTGCCTTTTGCGGGTTTGGATGATATTCTGTGAAAGCCCTTTGTCCTATAGGCTTTTAAAATTTAATAGTTTGTGCTGAATTCTGTTGTTAATCATCTGAAGTTTACATTATTGTTTATCAACTTCAAAACAGATGGCCATCGGCCATGATACAATTTTGTTTACATCATACATACGAAAATGGGATTATCTGTAGTACTAGTAGGTGATGTTTCAGTGAATTCAAGTTAAATGTTGTAATGTTAGTTGCGTAAAATGTAAACAAGAAAATTACTTACGTTTATTGTGTTGTGAGAGGATTTTGTGTCTTAATATAGCCTGTTTAAAATCAATCCTATTTACTTTCCAATTCCTCCCTAAAGATTAAATGTTTATACCAAAAATTCTTGCGCAGATCACGCAGGTTGTGTTATCTCCAGGGCCCTTCCACTCAATTTATTAATTCAATAAAACAAATGTATTTAAGTTACATTTTTTTTCAGATGGGCGGTACTGACTTCATTGACCTTCTAAAAAAGAAAAAAAACTCAAAAAACTTTTTCTGCACCACCTACAAAGTAAAGGAAACTATTATTTAAGATATTTTCACCTGAACGATTTGGATATTGACTCACCGATAAGAGCTACTACCCAAGAGCTCTGATCTGCAGTCATGGGTAGCTCACTGTCCGAGGCCAACAGACGGACAAGAAGAGGATTGATCCAGCCATATGAAGTTCCTGCCATCAGCACAGATAATGACGCTGGAACAGAGAAATAAGTTAGAAATTTAATAACGCAACCGGCCAAACATGGGATTGTGTCATGGGCCAAAGAAAAGCACCGCAAACGCTGGGTCGACACTCCCATTCTTAGGGTCAGCAAGCTTACTCTGTTTAGGCCTTCCAAAAAGGTTGCCTCTGACCTCTTGAGACTAGACAGACAAAGAATCAAACTAATTGTAGAACTGATAGCTGGACATGGGCGGTTCAGGAAAAATTTACAACGGAGTGGCTTTTTTGATGGTGAACCAATCTGTCACAGGCACTATGATAGGTCAGAAGAGACAGCCGATCACCTGCTCCTTGATTGTAACGCCCTCTCTGATGCTAGAATGATAACTCTTGGTAATTTGGATAGAGGAAGATATCTTCCCGATGATGAACTTATTGGGAAGCTACAGGCATTCATTAACTTGTAAGGTCAACAAGAAAACAATTGTCTGTGATGCGCAATAATTCGATTTCCGATGAAGTGCTTAAAGGTCTCGACCTGCCCCTGTTAAACTTAATTAAGTTCATTAAGTTCAATATCTGAGCTTTTCTTTCTGGGCTCTTCAGTGGCTCTTTAAAATCTACAAGCCACCACTGAGAACAGTCAGCTCCGCAAATTCTCTGGCAACTCAAAATCCATTGACTGATCAAGGTCAGTGAATTCGTAACAAACTTACCATGCGTCGTGAGAGCGATGTTCAGGGCATAAAATAACATGTTAACTGGGCGACACAAGTGTGCTGCTGAGATTTTTTTGCCCAGTGGCTATGGATGGTGCCGGCATATTTATTTGTTAATGATTCACATTGTTAATGTATTGGGATTTTAACACCTAAGACTGCTGAAAACCATTACATTACAATGACACTCCCTATAAACTGCGGGGGGAGCCCCGGCGCGCTACTGAATCAGCAAATAAGCGATCGCTATTGGCATAGAAATATCTCAGTAAGACGAATCACAAAAGAGGAGTGCTGATTGTTCTGCGTTACCCAGAAAGTGGACGTAGTTTAACGTAACGCGCAAAGGGAGCAGCACTGCCTGGATCAATAACCAGAGTCTTTGTAATATGGCTCGAATAGAGAAAATCCCCGAAAAGGGAACAAAAGCATTGCCAGAAGTATTTTACGGGAATGTTTAGTACCAACCTACACTAAAATAAAGCTCGTATTCTAAGCAACAGCCTGGCAACAATCACATTATTGCCGGCCGAGTTCTGGTCTCAGACAGACGCAACATTTGGCAGGCGAGCACACTACTGATGTAGCAGTAGGCGGCAAGCAGTGCCAGTGCCGCGCTACTGCTATAGCAGTAGGCCGCAGTCAACGTGTTAAAAGTAGGCTATTTATAAAATAACACTAGGTGTAAATATTTCTAGAATTCGTAATTATTAAGTAAGATTATGGGCGATTTACAGGAAAATATAATTTAAAAAATCATTACAGGATACGTAGAAATATGTGATTTTCACTTTAATTCAAGCAACATTTTTCCGGGTTTTATGGGGCCCCCTATAGTAGCCCTGGCGCCATTGTCGCCCAGTGGAAATCCCCTAAATTTAGTATGTCCTAAATTTACACTCATCCAGTAAGTTTGGTTAGTTAGGTTAACTTGACCAAACTAACTGAATGAAATAATTAATATAGGGAAGTTAATCATTAGAATGAGTGCAGGACAGATAAGTTAGACCTATTTAAGTGTAGGCTAAAAAATCTCTTATCTCTTTTATAAACACCTTATCTAGGTAAATCCCTTAGAAATTTTTCTGTTTAGTTACACGTACAAAAGCAACGCTGTAACTTATAATGATGTAAACATTAACATTAAATAAGTTTTGTAGAATATGCACATTAAGTTACCTATGAAGGCAGCTGAATACTGCCTCCAAATCCCCAAATTCATTGTGTACTTTGGCGGTTTCGTAACAATAAAAGGTGAGCATAGATGAAAATTATCAAATTCTGACAGGTTAATTCAGCAGATGCATTTATTATCGCTATTTACATGCACTGCTAACTGAGGACTGGTCATTTTTTTTTGTTATGTAATTTGAATGATGAGACTGACAGTCTGACACTGACAGAAGAATTCATAATTAGAAGCAGACGATTCGCATTTCGCATCATTCAAATTACATAACAAAAAAAAATCAGTGCTACCAACACCATGGTGAAGGTACCAACACTTTATTTAGGCATACATAGCTAAGGCTAGGATTATACTAGGACGCTGGCGTCCGAGAGGCTAGCGTCCCAAGTCGAGCCTAAAATGACGTGATTTGTGTTGGGATGCTAGCCTCTCGGACTGCCATTTTATTTCAATGTTTTGTCACTTTTTGTTTATATCTATTTAAATAACATTAGGTTTACGAGTACCCAGATTTGCTGCTTTAAGGAGGCTAATATTGTGTGTTTTTAGTTAAATATTAATAGCTTAGTATGAAACAAATTGGCCAAGTTTGACCAAAATATATCCATACACAAGCAAATTCCAACAGTTAAAAATATTTTCTATAAGAATAACATGGGAATTTTTAATTTACACTTATTTGAATTTTATCCGTAACATAGATAAAACCATAGATAAAACATACTCCCCCAAGTAGATTTCTCATCCTTATGGAACAGCTGAAGACAATTTTATGGTTAGTTCTGTACGGTTTTCTGTAGATGTCGTGTTTTGTTTACAATTTGTTTCCCGTTAATACAGTAATTTAAAACCTCGTTTAACCAAATAATACGATCTAATCATAAACAATAAATTGTCTCCTAGTTATTTAACCAAACAGTAAAGCACAAATCAAGAAATTAACCCTAAAATAATAGAAACAAAGTTTCGTCGACACTAGCGCCCATGTGTCACGTACATGAACTAGACACGAAAAACGTGCTTCAAAATTAACAATGGGATGAGAAGTCTACTTGTGTTCGTTAGTCTGTGTCCGTAACTAATAACCGTACAAAACACTTTAATATACTTAATTATATTCTTTTAAGCTAATTAAAATTGTCTAGAGAGAAATATGACAATACCCCTTTTTACCCCATAAAACCCCGTTCCCAAGTAGGCACAAAATCGAGCGTCCGGTGGCTTTTTTAGCATCCGACGCTGGCATCCCTAGTATAATCGCCCCCATTTGATTTAATGCCCCGCTAGCGTCCCGGACGCCGGCCTCCCGGACGCCAGCGTCCTAGTAGGCTAGTATAATCCTAGCCTAAGGCTTAGGAATCTTCACTTTACATTACAGTTTTTAAAAAAAATGCCCCCTCTGCAGCAAACCTGCCGACTAAGCAAATTTCCATTTGGCTGGATTAATGTTAAATTAACATTTTCATGTTTAACGAGTACCTAGGTTTGCTGCTACAGGGAAATTTTTAAGCTCTTCAGGTCTGGAGAAAAGTTTATAAATTTTGTGTTTTAAGGGTAAATAAACTGTATCAGCATTCTGACACATACTTTCTCCCATAAGCTCGTCAACAACCTTTATTTTATAGTTAAAAACCACAATGTTGCAATAACTTTTTAACCGTAATTGGTACAGCAATGGGGTGTTGTACTATTTTCTTTTAGAATTATAATGACCATAACATATTAACTTTGATCAAATCCAGCTTTTCTCCAAAAATAAGATTTTCGTTATTTTATGGTTTTTATGGGAACATAACATTAGTTACAATAACTTTTGAACCGTAATTTTTACGGAAATGGGATTTATGTACAATTTTGTTCAGAATTTAAAGGACTATACTAGATATTTATGAAAGTCGTTCAGGCCATTTTCGAGAAAATCTGGGTTTTCCGTTATTTTATGGGGTTTTATTGTAAAATCCCCATTAAAAATCCAAATTTCTAAAAAAATTAAAAAGTGTTCGAAGTTTTACGACCGTAACATACCAAGTTAAATCAAAACCGGGTTTTTTCTAAAATCCTTTTTTTCGTTATTTTAGGGGGGGGGGTTTAAGGGAAAATAACATAATTTACAATAACTTTTGAACCGTAATTTTTACAGAAATGGGAGTTATGCCATTTTGTTCAGAAAGGGCTACAACATACTATAAATCGTTCGGGCCGTTTTTGAAAAAATCCGATTTTTCTATCATTTTATGGGTTTTTATGGGAAAATCAACATTAAAAATCAATGAACATTCATTTCATTGTCCGTAAACGAAATTTATTTTGATGTTTTGAATAAAAAAAAAAAAAAAAAAAAAAAAAAAAAAAAAAAAAAACACGGAGATACCATGGATTAGAATCTACACACCAAATTTCATCGAAATCGGACCACAGGTGTAGTCCCTAGCTCTGTACACATCAAGACACACAGACAAACACAGACATCACTTCGAAAACCACTTTTTTGGGTCCAGGGGGACCTAAAACGAATATATCCACTCCAAACTCAAACTCGAAAATTTTGACGAAAACAATACTTTCTCCATATCCCCTATAAGGGGTATAAGGGGAGAAAGTAAAAATAAGAAAAACTCATTTTACCCCATAAAACCCTCCGTTTTAGTTATAGGAGGCCGGGACTGACTTTACTGGTACTGGACAGTTACATGTTACAGTACTGTCACTGCGAGTGCGACTGTGTTCATGTGTTGACACTTCACTTGACATTTAGCATTTAGCTACCTCTAGCTTTGTTTGAGGTTAAGCTTAAGCTGTCACTGTCATTTTTGTTTTTGACCAGTTAGCGTAGTCTATTAATAATGTTGACCCATTATTTTTGACCGATTTGTGTTATGATTGAAAGATTTGGAAAGATTTTAAAGTGAAAGAAGAAACTGTAGCCAAAGAAAGTCTTAACAAATACAAACCAATCTTGATGAGCTTTTTCTAGGCCTAACTTAAGTTAAGTGATGTTTGGCTGAGGCTGATTGATTCGTAGTTTATTTTAAAAATGGTTGCACCTGTTGTTACTGGTATATCCCCAAAAGAAGGCCCTCCTGGTACAAGAGTCACTATAAGAGGAGAAAATCTCGGCAAAAAACCTCAGGATCTTGTCAGTAAGTACCACTTATACGTTAACTGCCCATTGATATCAATCATAGTTTAGGATGTGAATGTAGTGATGGCAAATGAATATCGATTTTTGCAGTAGGCCTATGATATATATCTAGCATCGATGTGTTCACCCAAAAACACCGAGTATTGCTCTTTTTTTATAGGTTATCAGCGGTTATTTATGTAGTTTTTGGCCAAACCTGAACCAGAAATGCATTGTTCGAGCTATAATATTTTTAATTTGAACAAAATATTACATTAACAGTATAAATTAACTGACGGTAAAGAAAAAATAGTCTGAACGGGCCAACGAGATGGACAAGGCAGACGACAGCTCGCTACAAATTACTCTTTGCTGGCCTGCTTGCTACAGAACAGTAGGCTAACTTATAATTTTACTATCGGCCTATTTACTGATATTATATTTAAATTTTATTTGACAAATTTTGAAATGTTATACACCAACGATATAACATGTAGCCTAATATGAGGTTCTTTTTATTTTATGTTAATTTAACATTTTATTTTATGTTAAAACGTTCGTTAGACAAATAAAACATATTAGGCCTACTTAGGATTTATTTTTATTTAAAATTCTTATATTTTTCTGTGATGTTTCAAATCAAAATCAAAATTTTTAAATAGGCCTATCAATGTCAAATAACTTAAACTATAGAAACAATAAATAAGTTAATCGTTATTGATTTAAAAAATCTGTTTGGTAACAGACAAGGCTAGTGGAGAATATCAAACGGAATTTTAAATATTACAGCAAATTTCTGTAATGTTAGGTTATTTTAGAACAGTTTCATTTTTAAAGTTAAAAAAAAAAATTGTTTGTTGATAAGTTACTAAACAATATTTTTATTTATCTTAGTTGTCAGCTGATATGTTTCAATTTGTTATTATCGATAACCCGGATCAAAAAATAAAATATCGATATATTGAAAAAATCATCGATAATAATGAATGTTCCCTTTAACAGGAAAGTAAGAAAAGTGGAAGGAAGGGGAAATCATTTCAAGAGCGAGAAATGTTATGTTTAAAGTCAAGACAGATACTGTAGCCTACTCAGTACTCAGTTAGACTCGTCACTCATACCAAATCTCACTCTTACACAAAGGAGGGAGAGTTGATGTTATGATTATTAATGTGTTCATTTAATTCATTGTAAAAGTTATTTTCTGACATTTTTTCAGGTTTATCAATATGTGGTTGCGACTGTCTTCTTTCTGCCGAATGGAAGTCACCCAACAAAATTATTGCAAGATCAGGGCCAGGGAAGGGTCGGGGAGACATTATTGTAACAACAATGTCTGGGGGCAAAGGCACATCCACTGTGCAGTTCCGAGGATACCACGAAACAATCGGTCCACTCAAGGAGAGCGCAGTTTGGGTAGAAGAGGCTCCGCTGCAGACCTTAGCTTGGGGTCTGAGGTCTCTCTCTCCCACGAGCTATCAGGTGGAAGACCCTTTGGGATTATCGGTTGAAGGAAATGAGTAAGTGTTTCCTTCAATACAGTGGATAACTTAAAGTAGCTTAATAAATTGATCTTTTAAAACTTAGGTAGGACTAGATTTGTACCTGATGCTTTTTAAGTTAGTAGGCTAAATGAAAGGCCTAATGAGCCTTTGAACTTCTCACTTTAATCACATGCAGTTTTATGTTAACTGTCTTTTATTGGGTCTTTTATAATCGTCAATTTTATTTTACAAATTTTTTACAGAAAGAAGTTCCCAGAAGATGATTTAAATGAGCTTTTTCCAGAAGGTTCAGGAGATTTAGCTTCAGATAATTTTGAGCCTGGATGGTTTTTACTGGAACACCACCATGGAACATCCTTCGATGACCTCCGTGTTGGTTTAAGTTACTTGCGAAGAAAAGTAGAAGGTCAAAAAGAAGGTCAATTGTCTTTCCTAAAGGTAGGCCTAGATTGTAGGGGAATAAGATAATTTTGCCATTAAAAATTAACTTTTTCAAATGTTGACCAACTCCAAACAATGTGTAGTCTCTCAAGTTTGTAAAAATTAAGTAATTCTCTTAGTTTATTAAATATATTAATTGTTTAACTTACCGTAGGCCTATACAAAAATTATTAATTAAATATGACGACAAGATTTGAAATTGTTTTTGTATTGTCTTAGTAGTCTAATACTCTTAGTCCTAATATCTAGAACTTAATCAATAATTGTGGCCAAAATAATATGCTCACTCATAAGTTAACTTGCTCTCCAACCAAAGGCTCTAATTTATAATGTTTAATGTGAAAGAAAGACACAACGTAAAATCATACTGTTTTTAACCGCACAGTGGAAACCGTATACGTGAAAGGAGCTTACAAACATTATTCATTGAATTGTTATTATGAATGGCTTAATCTTACACTAAAAAAAACAAAAAACACTTAATTGCATGTTAAAAGTTTACTCAATCAACAGTTCCATGTGCAATGAAACCAGTCCTAGTATATACTCTAAATACAAAAAAGGAGATGACAGCCTTCCAGAAAACTATTGCCCCATTTCAATCCTGCCAATCTTATCGAAATATCTTGAAAAAATCATAAATGCCTATTGCCTAGTTAACAACATCATATTTAGAAACAGAAAGAAATAATATTCTAAGCAGCAACCAGCATACGGCAAAGCAAATACGGCACTCATCCAGCTATGCAACTCCATTACAGTACTGAAATTTTTCCATTACTGAGAACAACTGCTGGAAATAGAATACTTATAAAACAATACCCTTACAAAATACAGATCAAAACTATAAAAAAAAACATCACCCGGAATACCGCAAGGATCAGTCCTTGGACCATTTTTCTTTTTTATTTACATAAGCTCCTCCCCCCGATTGCACATGCATCATGTTTGCCGACGACACAACCATAATTGCCCCATGCCAAAAGACGCAAATCAAATTAAAAATATAACACAATCAGCCAGTAATATAAGCCAACCATAATCAACACTAAAACTGTAACAAATTGAAAAAAAGTTAAACACAACTACCGGTAATGAAGAAGTCGCTAGCCCACAAACTGAAAACAGCGTCTACAGAGCAAACCATACAAAATTTCTTGGAAGAACCCTTAATGCAAAATTTAAACTGGCAAAACCGCAGAGAAATTCTAAACTCAAAACTAACATCGGCAATTTTCGCATTCAAAGAAGTCACAAAAACATCAAAAGCAACAATGGCCTACCATGCACTATTCTAATCTCATCTCAAATTTGGACTTATAGCCTGGGGAGGAGCAAACGAATCTCAACTACAAAAAATTTTCACACTCCAGAAAAAAGCTGTCCGAATCATCACAATTGTCCAAAATGAAGAACATTGCAAGCCACTATTAATTTATCCAATATAAGATCCTTACACTCACTTCCCAATACATCCTTGAAACAATAATTGCAATCAAATTGGATCCACCACAAACCAGACAAGAATGCCATCAATACAATATTAGGTCAGAAATCAATCTCAACCAAAACCAACACAGACTACGCAGAACAAGTAAAACCCCTACATATATGGAAACAACACTTTTTAACTCTCTTCCTCAAAACATAAAATCAATAAACAAAACAAAAAAAAATCATCACTAGCCTTACAAAGTATTTATTAAACAGGCCACACTAAAATTTAAAAGAATTTCACCATGACACCATAACAACGTTACACACCTCTAAAATAAAAAAAAAAAAAAAAAAACACACCCACACATAAAACACAAACAACAAACACCCTCCAAGAAATTGACCACTCTCCGGTCTCCACGTCTGTGAAGAGGAGCGCCGATGTAAGGATGTAAGATGTAAAAGGAGGGTCTCACTTTATGATTTGAAGGAGGCCAAAAACCTGCCACTTGATGTGTTGGCTGTTGTATCCCTAAAACTAAGCCTACTGAGCCTTCTTGTAATCAGTTCACTAATCATATATTTTTGTGAGCATTAGTTATATTCAGTTGTGCTTTACACTTCATACATCGAATTTTGTCGTTTTCAGGCCAACATTGGATCTGTCATGGAACAACTTGATACACTTTTTATTCTAAAAGAAAAATTTGAAGCTGATGTTATGGAAAGAGGGTTGGATCCAACAATCAAGATGGAAAAAGCTATTAGAGGTAAATGAGGTTATTGATATTGTTGGGATACTTGTATGTGTGTATAAGTACATGTGCATTGTATGACAGTTTCAAAACAAAGACTTCTTAATAATGTATAAGTTAGTACAGTACTATGTACTTAGCTTGTATCCCACTTCTTTTAATATTTCTATTACAGGAATGCAGGAATGAATCCAATGCATTTCTATCCAGAAATGAACCTGAACCGATTTCAATTAGGTCATGTACTCCCAGTATTTTACAGAGCAGAGGATTTTTTTACAAATTTAGTTTATAGCCAAAATCTTTGTAGGCCTATAAGAAGGTTATATTTTTTTTAAATAGCCACTTTTTACCTGATAAAAACTTCATCCCTTCTGGCTGAATGTCCCCACAGGAAGATCCCATACACAATTATGCTGTGGAAAAAGGCAAAATAGGCAAACATCACACATTCAGGACTTACACTGTCTTGTAGTAGTCACCTTAACAACAAAATTACTCCGCTGAACCTCTTTAGAACCATTTCAACGTGTTCATTCCAATCTAACTTTGAATCCCAGTAATTTGGCCACACCTTGGTCCTCATTCTTCTTTAAAGAGAAAATCACACGTTGCATCTTCGCCTCATTCAGTGTCAAACCATTAGCCTGAAACCAGACCTTAGCTTCACTGTACGCCAACTCAATCTGCTCCCTTGGACATGATGGTTGTGTCATCACCGTAGATGATCGTTCTACCCAGGATGCAGCTATCAAAGTTATTAATCATCACCAAAAACGAGAATGGTCCCAGCATTGATCCCTAGGGGATGCCCATGTCACACACCTTCTCCAAACTAGACTCCCTGCCATCGGCCACCACCACCTGCCTTCTGTTCTTGAAGAAACTTGCTACCAACCTATTGGCCTGATCAGACAACCCCAGACTCTCCAGCTTCCGCAACTCAAGTTCATGGCTAACACAGTCATAGGCTTTCAATAGGTTACAAAAGACCGCCTCCACAACCTCATCATCGTCCATTGCATCCATTACAAAAGTGCAAAACTGGCTCACTGCATCCATAGTTGATCTTTCACTCCTATATGCAAACTGCTGGCTACTAAGCAGCCCCCTTTCTAAAAACAAAGTCAGCTGGTGTACCATCACTGCCTCAAGCACTTTGTAGAGCATAGGTTCGGAACTGGACCCAGCCGTTCTAGGTCATTGGACTTTTGAAATGATCTTCAATACGAGTCAGTATTCAGTAACAAAAACAAAGCTATCCTATCATCCATTCAAGACTAATCTTTGCCTCAAAATAACTTACCTCCCGCTACTGCAAATATAATATACCGTAATCTTTCTCCTTGGAAATGAGAATTTAACTAAATATTACTTTACTGATGCCGTAATTTTTTTGTATTTTAGACTCAATGTTTGAAGCAAATAAGTTATTTGAGGGAGTTTTAAAGCGCCGGGAAAGAGCTGACGCCACAAGAAATGCTCTTGGAGTTTTACAGAGATTTCGCTTTCTTTTTACTCTTCCCGTCACCATCGAGAGGAACATTCAGAGAGGAGAGTACGACGCCGTGATTAACGACTATGCTCGAGCTCAAAATCTCTTCGGTAAAACTGATGTATTGGTGAGTAATTGGTTACTTTTTCTTTTTACATTTAAAAACTATCATATAGTTTGTTGAATTTATCGTAACAGTGATAATATGAGTTAAAAAACTTCAGGCCTAACTTGTTAGTTTGCAAGGCAATAGTCTTAAGTTACAAGGGGTTTGTGACTATATTATTTAGTGTTTTGTTAAATACTCAATGACTGACTAGGCTCATCTCCCATATCATATGAAATTGGTTAGATTTCTATATTATGTTACCTGAAAATCCTTACTGCGTAGCCTCGAAATATACCTCGTTGTTAAAAGTATAACTGAAAGTTGCTATATCAGAATTTTAAATTTTTTAAGGACTTGTTAAAATGTAAAAAAAAACATATAGGCCTATTAGCCAAAGCTGGATGTAATTTCCTTGTAACATAATCTGCTTTTATTAAACTCCTCTAATCTTTGGCAGTTTTTACAAAGTCCAAGTTCCATGTGACATTTTGGTTTCGAAGGGACCTTGAAGTGAATTCCAGGGGTTCTATCTTAATTGCCAAAAGTCCTACATTCACAGTTTTTGTTGGCTATGGCTACCCTACTGTATTATGAGCACTTATTATATTTCGTTCACAATATTTAGGTGGTTTTAGAAAAATAAATCTATCCCCTCCACTTGACCATTACCTTTAAAATAATTGCTCCACCTTCAAATCTGAAGGTCGCTGGTTCGAATCCAATCATGATGGTTTCCAAACCCAGATGCCATTTGTCATTGGGCTATGAATTAATGATGCTATCTAACAAAAAGGTTGAGCTTTTGACATTAGATAGTAACAAGAAAACATAAAAAATTCCACAGGCGTAAAAACACACAAAATAAAAAAATCCTAATAGCTGATTAAGCAATATATCAAACCGCCTAAATATTGTGAATGAAGTATTAATTTGTAATTAATATGTATCAAATTAATATAAATCAAATGAAAAAAGTTTCTCAACAGGTTTTCAGGAAGGTTCTAAATGAAGTTGAACAGAAAATAAATGATTTGAGGGTATTACTAAAAAATAAATTGCAAGATATGCCCACTCCACTTCATACCCAGAAAAAAATCATTAGGTAAGAAAGTTTGTAAACATTTAAAAGTTCTGTTACCCTGTTACTGGCTTAAACATGTTTAAAAGCTTACCTTGAAGCACTTCTTGAACAAAACTGTTCCAGCAGAGATTCAAGTCATGATGATCAATCCTTGCTATCATGTAAAAAAGTGTCATTAACTTATAATACTTTCTCTGAATTGACCTAGCCTATTTCTTAGTGTGTTTGTCCAGTGTCCTAACAAATTACTAGCTGCTTTGCAAAAGAGAATAATCTTGCTGTTAAGATCTGCTATACGAAATAGATCACTTATTCTATTTACTTTCAAAACCGTGTATGCTGATATTGTCAATAGATTCATAAGAATCTAACAACATACCGTAGCAATAAAATCAATTACTTGATATTGTTGATAGGTACTTAAAGAAAAAGTTATTTTACCCTAATTCTCCAATTTTAGTCAAGCCTCTTTAGGTACCTGAAGCTTTATTAGGCCTATATTAATTACATAGAACTATGAGCGAAATTATATACAACTTTTACTACCTTTCTTTAACTAGACATGTAACGCTGTTACTAAATAACTCACACATTTCTAATATGTAAATAAAACTCCAGCTGAAACCCTATCAAGTAAATAAACAAACAGCTGATAATTTCAACGACCAGCTATTGCTAGTTTGGTTGATTAAATAATGTAAACTTCTAAAGCATGTAAAGCATAGCCAAGTGGAAATCGGCTTAGCCCCCTTGGGAAAATGGCCACTGAGCCGTTAAGAAAATAGGTTCATAACAATAATTTTCGGCAAATCTAAATAACTCTGAGCTTCATTTTAATGTGCCATATACCCATATTTTTATTTGTTTAATGATCTCAAAGATGATGAAAAATTTTGACTGTATCAGTTTGATAAATAATAAATTTGATTTCATTTGGTTAAAATTGCAGCATTGTCTTCGTGGCTCAATGCAATGCTAATGATAAAGCAGTTTTCACACAATGTTAGGAATCTGTTTCAGAAATCTAGTACACTTGGATTTCGAAGGAGACCCTGTCTGGGAAGCTATCAATGTACACTACAAGTACATCACAGAACAGCTGGGCAAGTGTAAGGACAAACATCTGGCCGCTGAGACTGCTCAAGAGGACTCAGGTTGGTGATGTTCTGTTGAGAGTTGGTTTTTAGTACGATTTTAAATTATTACAAATTGTTGAACAAGCTGAGCTTGAGTCAGCTTTTGTATAATAATTACGCCAAAACAACACAACTCCAGTTCCCAAAGTCCAGGGAACTCCAGTTCCCTTAAAAGATCCGGACTCTTTTGTTATACGCTACATGAAACTTTGTCAGTTGAACTCCTCCACCATTTCTTAACCGATTTTATCCATTGACATCTCATTGGAAAGAGCGTATCGCGTAGATATGCAAACTGACCTTACATTTTTGAAAAAGTCCCTTGGGCTCTGCCCCAGTGGCTGTTAAAGTTCCCATGTTCTTTTAAACTCATAGGAAATTATGATGACTTTTATTTGTTTTTAAATAACTACTTTAATTCTTTGCAATTGCTCGATTTTGAGCAACGTGTACACTAGTTGTCACTTGATTTCTCACCCAATTCTCCATTTCAAACTGCTATTCAATATTATGATGTATTGTTATAATTTTTGAAGCACACAAGAGCTTATAAAGTAGGGAACTGAGTTTAAAATGTTACATCATTTTCTCTTCTTTTAAAGAAAATGTAATTTAGATAGCATGATCGTGGACTAAATACAAAAGTTCATATTCCAATAATAACATAACTTACTAAAATTAAATTTTTGAACTTATTACCTAACTAAAGGTAAACTAGTATTACAGTTATTTGAAAGAAATGTAATAATTTTACTATACATTTTAATAGGATATATTTGAGTTGAAGAAGCTTAACAGGATGTAACCACAGGCTTAGCATTTCCTCTAACGTTAAGCCTAAAATACAACCACTCTAAGAAAGTGTCGTTTCATTGAGGTTGATTTGTACCTAAACGATGAACCTTTTTCCAGGCAAAACACCCAAGAGTTCAAGACATTCAAAAACACCCAGTGGAAACCAAGTGTATGATTCACAGGTTAGTATAAAACAATATATAGGCCAAAAAAATCTAAGCTCTTTGTAAATTTAAACGTAGCTTGCGTAAAGTTTTAATTTTTGTTATACAATAAATTTTGTTCAACTCTGATAAGCTCCCTACTGCAATAAACTAACTATTTGAAATTTCTGTTTAGCTATAGGATTCAGACAACATGTGCAGATAAAAAGTTAAGAATCACAAGTAGTTAAAAAAACTGTCAATAGTCACAATGCGCAGTATAAACTCTCATATTGAAGTAGACAGATTGCCAAGGTCAATGTTTTGTTATTGTTCGTATCGATCCATGTTTAAATTCTGAATCAGAAAACAAGAATGGATCATGCTGGCTCAAAATTATTGTGCGCTTTCAGTTATTTATTGTATCCAAGTCTGATGAGTAAACGGAATCAGGGAACCGCTCTTGCTTTTTAACCAATGAAATAGCTGTAGACTGTAAACCACCTGGCGCTGTTACCATAGCGAGCAACTAATTGCCGGCATCTTGACCTCAGCTCTGCCTCTAGTCTCTACTACTGAGGATTTTGAAATCCTTAAAGTTTTATTTCATATTTAATTACCGGTAGGCTATTTATTATATTTTTTGTAAGTCCAAATACTGTGACGTGCACACATTCGGAGGTCACCGACTAAACAAAATTAGGCAGCTTTTTGTTTACAATAAATGTTTACCCGCTTAAACTTTGCTTGGATTAGAAATGGAAGTATTGACATAACTTCAGTTTTAGTTGACTACTCAATTCCCATACGTAGGACGGGCCAACAGCTCGTAGTGTTAAGTTGATACAGATACAATATAATTGTGTTTATAGGAGGCCATACCACATCGTGTACAATGTGTAGAGCAGATCACGGAGATCATGAGTGTATACTTGTCTGATCTGTGGAAACTCGGCCAGTCGTACTTCTGCGGAGAGCTCCAAGTCAGACCACAGCCCAGCCGACCACAGGAGTTTAAGGTCAAATTAAAACTAGGTGAACCCGTGCGAATTCGCACGAATAATAAATTAGGATATTATAGCAACGTCGTTAGAAGTTGCGTCGTTGAATCGACGTTGGTCTTGTCTTGAGTTCGATCGTTGGCTATAAGCATTTTAAGTTCTTTTTGCTGTTCAGTAGCAGTATTTTGCAGGACGGAGCTCATCATGTTGAAAACTTGCGCTTATGGATTAATATCAACCAAATGTTGAGTCAAAATGTGCAAGAGTTCAGTGCTGCAAGAGCCATTAGCCTTGTTTAGCATTCTTTCGTGAACAGCGGTTTCGACGTCCGTAGATATAAATTTGGGCATATATGCCCACCTTCTGACGTTTGAAAGGTGCCAATTGAGTGATAAATTGTGTCGAGCATGAAAGACCCTTCACCGTTATATTCTTAAATTTTAGCTCGAGTGCTGACCATTGCGAGCGCAGAGTTGTACCAATGTTAATGTTCTTTTTGTAGTTTCTGCTCAAATAATTTGCTCCATTAAGTAGGCTCTGGATATAATAGCTTTCTCGGTATGGTGGTAGATTCTCTTTTCCTTTATGGCAGCAGGATGAAAATCCTTCGCCTCGTCCTCTTTGATCTTCTTTAAAATGTAGCGCACCACATTTCTGACATTTTAATGCCATCTCGCCAAGTGAAAACTGCTGAATTCTTATACTTGTCAGTGTAATTTTGTAAGTACACGTTGCCACTAACTGTTCCAGCTCCTCGTCTGGGCTCCTTGCGTTGGTTTTGCATTACTTGCCGTATGTTGACTCGCCGTGTCCGACCGGCAATATTTGTTTTGTCGTCGAGTCCTTGACATGTTTAAACGAAAATATTATGTAAAACTTTTCTCCCGTCGTGTCCTAAAGGTAACATTTCTTTGCCGGGTTTGTTATTATTTTAAAAGAAGATGCAAACTGTTTACATTACAAAACCAAACAAAACAGCTGGGATTTATTTTTTTTTACTAATGTATTGACATCTGTTTCAGAATATAATAACATTCAAATCAATCACAATGTTATCCTTATGGAAGGAACTTTAAGGGCAGCCCACGCCCTTAAAAAGATATATTTCGAAAATCTAAAGCCAGTTTGCACATCTACACACATAGACAAACATTTTGGTATATAATATGTGGGGTTAAATCTTAAAACAAAAAAGCCTTATTGTTCACAAAGTTTCATGTCGCGTATTAAATATATAGATATAACCAATCAATTTCCTACCCAAGTACAACTATGGTTTTTCTGTACTAATTTACTATTTTTTGGATAGATAGTGAATTTGTGTTTGTTATTTATGATATAGTGATGTTTTGTGTTACATTGCAAGTCAGTTTTTACTGTGGGGAATTTCTCTAAATTTTTCCGCAATCACAAATGATTATGGACAATTGTGGAAGATGATCACAACATTTTTGAAGAATTATATTTTACGGTTTTGTGTTTATCCACACCAATTGTCATTTTTGGAAGGAACGGTCCAATCCAAACCCTGGTCTCAACTATTTAACGTTAGTTAACCTTGTGTTAGATAGAATCCTTAGGGGAACGTACTTGGTCAAAACATGCTCTCCTTCCAAATGTCATTATCATTGAATAAGGTACCTATTAAATTATCATTTTAAAGAATATGGTTGTTAAATAATTCTGAAAATTAATGTGGAACTTACAGGGCTTGACATTGGTTATTATTGTCAAATGTTGGTAAAAATGTAGGATCTAAACCACAACCCTGGTGGAAGTGAAAATTTCCAATTATTTCTTACATATTTTGCTCAAAAAGATAATGAGGCCTGTTGTAATTTCATCAAAAAAATTTTACAAAACTCCACCCTTTAAAGTAAAATTAAAAATACAATGTCACAATTTTAGGTTAGGTTAATTTTTTGATTTTTCTAGTGTGAAAAAGATTTACTTATTACAGCTTTTAAGAAGCTATTATATTTTTTTCCTTTGACCAGTGTATTTATAACTTTATTTTCGGAAATCACCTTTTATGGCCTAATAGTTTGGCCCACACTATGACGCAAATTACAAAATATTTATGAGTGAGATCTTGTAATATATTCCAGCTACACCATTTTGTACAAATTATAATTCCTACTTACCAGATAACAGGGTAAGCTATTTAAAATATTTTCACAATAAAACTTAAATTGAAACGAATTTCTCAACCACATAATCTATACTACATAAGTCTTTTTTTTTGTAGAAAATCGTAATGTCAGTGATTGCAATGATGTGTGGCTATCTGCGAGGTGCCATCATCCCCAACACACTAGACAAGACTAGTGCGGACCGCGCGATGTTAGTGTGGTCTGGACATGGACACAGCGTGCGGGCGGACACGCTAGCGGATTGGCTACCTCACTGCCTACGCTACGTGCGAGCCGCCTACAGTCTGTTGATCACACTAGACCTGCCCAGCGAGCCACTGGACACGGTGGGGAAGCTGGTGTTTGATCTCAGGTAATGTTCTTTGTAATTGGCTAGTGAAATGTAATAAAATATTTCAAGTTGGCTGTGTTGCCAGCCTAGTGATTGGTATTTCGATGCATAAGGCACAGATTCAATATGTAGCTTCTCTACAACCATGATAGGCTTGAATAGTTTTCACTTAACCTCTTCCTGAGATTTTTGGCTGCATAAGTCCATGGATGATGTTAATGAACAAGTGACAAAACTAGGTGAAGAAGTTGATTACACAACAGAGGATTACTTACGTTACCTTCCTCTTGGTTATATTTAGACTGAGTGGAGGTCTTACAAGATGCTTTTAAGGAGTCTTCCTCACATAAATTTTATTATGCAAAAGCTTATGAGGAACTTGAAAAAAAAACTGATGGCTTGGTTACTTTACTTAACACAGCTTCGTGGAATCTTCAGAGTCATTGGCTAATTTTCTACTCCAAGTACCTTGTAACAAATGCTTTTGTTGCTGAAGAATATTAAACACTATTCTGTAGTGATAGCGGAAAGTCGTGACCAAATCTAGCTAGCGGATCGATCAATTTGGCGTGCTGGGAAGTTTCCAGGGTTCAAAGTTAATATACTATACAAATACCCAATACTATTGATATATTAACTGCATTACTCCCTAGTCCTTAATCACGAACTGAACCACATAAGTTTTAGCATACACTAACTCGGACTTGAACACCCAATAATGGCTCGACTGTAATTTTGATTAATAAAATAATACGAGGAGGGTTGATCGCTCAGGAAACTCTCAATAATCATGAACTCTATGAATAAGTACAGGTTAAATCTCCTGTTTCGTACTCAACTATACAATTCCGTGAGTTAACTATCTCGACAACAGTGTCATCAGTGATTTTGCCAAAAAAGAGGTTATTACTAGTTCAGCCATAGACTAGGTCTCTGACGGCCTACAGCTTATTCATACCAGGATAGGTATTACCATCCAGGGAAGGACTAGGCCTACTAACAAATATTTAGTTGTGCTTTACATATAATCTTTACCCCCCCCCCCCCTTAGAATTTTGACTCATTACAACCTAATAAAGGCAATAAACTATTAAAAAATATGTATTTAGGCTATATATAATGAAAACAAGCTATGCCTACAACTAAACCCTTTCCAATGTGCATTTCTTTATATTACAGACTCCACTGCCTAACAACGGCTCTGAAACATGCAGCAGATCAGGTGAAAGCATTGCAGTCTAAAGAATCGTGGAAACTTGAGTTCAAAATGAACCATGGTGGGACTACAGAACTAGTAAGGATGATTTAAAATATCCAGTACTATCAAATAAATACAGTTCTTGTAAAAAAGCTGTTGTATTGTTTTTGGTATTGCACAGGTAAATATTGCCAAAAAAATTTTTAAGTAAAGGGTTACAGTTTGTCTAGCTCATTGGAATAGACTTCATGGCCTTATAGATCGGCCTACACAATAACAGGTCATATTATGTAACACTTATATTTCATTGTTGTGTAAGACTTCTAAAAAAATCAGGTTGAACAACTATTAAATAAAAATATAAAAAATAGCAAGAAAGAAAGAAAACAGTATTTTACAGCTGTACACTGTGTCAGTGATTAAATTGAATGATGTTTTCCATCTTGGAAATAAGTTAACATAGGAACTGAATGTATACTTCATGTTAGTTTATAGGCTATATCTTTTGATACAAATTCATCAGTTGTTTCTGTTGTTTTAGCCTCACATGTTTGAGAGCCTAGTCACAGAGGCCGTGACTCTAGTGAAGGAGACGGTTGTACAGCCAGGACCTCGGGAGGAACCTCTCCTAGACAGTCAACTGGTGCAGAAGGAACTGTCTTCTCTCATGCAGACTATCCTGCTAAATTATGTACAGGTAACTCTTAGAAAATACCTTAACACCAATTCTAGTTGAAGGAGCTGGGCAGCTGAGTGGTTGTGGCTCACATTAAAATCATATTGTTGCTGGTTCGAGTCTAGTTGTTTAGAGTTCAAGTTGTCGAGTTGTCATTGTTCTAGACTTGTCCCACCTGTTTTTTATCGTTGGAATTTAATAAATTTATTATTTTGGCTACAGAAACTGCTGATCTTGGCAAGTAGCAAAGCTACACAGGTCATTTGACCTGATTAAGCACTTTGCATTCATATTCAGTTTAAAATGGGAATGTTGCTGGAAGTCAACAGTCCCGGAAGATCAAATAATTTATACCTGTGCCGCTAGGTCAAAAACTACAATGTTTGCAGTGTCTGTAGATCAAAAGTCCCAGTAAGTCAAATAATACAGTCCGAGCTAAAAACGTGGTCTATGTTAAAGCAATTGACTTATTGGGAATTTGACCTAATGCAACAGCAGTTTTAATATAACGAAATACGGTAAAATACAAGTTCAGTTTCGCTGAGTCAACAGTGCCGGAAGATCAAAAGCAATAAAAGTGAACGTCGATTCAGTGTAAAGTAGACCTTCTGCAACGCTTACTATACCAACAAAACTCGCTTTTAGTTACTTCGTGTTTTGTCATAATTAGAATAGAGCTAAAATTATCATATTTGGTACATAGCTTATCTATTAATGCTTCTTGCCAACTGTTTGGTCAACACTGTAAATAGGTATAGCCTTTCGTCAAAATTTGTGGCATAAAATACCCGCAAGGACGATCTGAAAATTTCTGGTTATTATATACGTTTGTAAAAGGAGATCCATTTAATTGTAGAACTATTTTATGAGTTATAATGTAGTCTACATATAAACTGTGTAAATGTATTACGCCTCGGAAGGGTTTATTCTGAATCAACCAGACGATGGATTTTCATTAGTTTTGTGTTGAAAGAAAGACAATTTTGAGAACTAGGGAATTTCAAAGCCATAATTTAAAATTAGTGTCCCAGTTTTTTATAAATTAAGTTTTAGTTTTTAAAAAGTCTAGCAGCCGATGCTAACCTTCTCCAATAAGTCAATGCTTCTAGCTAGCTTTTAGTACAATATAATTTGCTTAACATAACAGCTGTAACATTCAGCATTTATGACACAAATTCAGCATTTGGAAGAAAATTCAAATACATACTTATGGTTGGCTTATTTATACTATGTGTAATGCTGACCATTAATACGTTTAATTCTTCGGTACGAGGATGGCAGATTAATTAAATATGCATAGTAAAATACAGTAGTAGGATGTTCAAATTATTTTTTAAAGTATTCTTTGTAATCATCGATTTGTTTTAGTCCAATATAATTTGTTTTAACTTACAGCTGGTTGAATGTGCTATGTATACTTATAAAAGGCAAAGCCCTCACTGACACACTCGCTCTCACTCACTCATCATCACTAATTCTCCCACTTCCCATTTACCTAGGAGGCTGAAATTCGATACACCGATTCTTTGGGCATTAAATAGGAAAACTGAGTAATTTTTATTATGATAGGGCATTCGAGCTTCGCCCCAGTGGCTCTGGAGTTTCCCATGTTAACCTTATGATTTTTCATATTTAAAAGGAATTAATGAATCTTAACAGCTGTGTCAATTAAACAATTTATGACAACAGCTAATTTGCAACCAAAAGCTGAGTGAGCGTTTCGAACGAACTTCAACCTGGAGGCGAGTTAACCCCAAGGCAAGTGAGCTCAGCGAACGAGCTCCAACCTAAAGGTGAGTGAGCGTAGCGAACGAACTTCAACCAGGACGTGATTGAGCCATGCGAACGAGCTCATCTTGAAAATGAATTAGTTAAACGGGGCAAAGCCAGCGGGTACAGCTAGTTATTCTATAGAATTATTAGGTTTTTAGCGAATTTCGCATATAGGGAATAAGCTATTACCGTAGTATTCATGGCAACACCTGGACCCGGGACCGATGTAATTTTTCGTTTTGAGTCCCTATAGGCCAAAAACACCATCCGTTCATATTCATATACAGGGTGACCGTTAAGTCTTAGGACGACTTTATAACTTTTAAACGACAAACGATATCACAACCACATTTGGTATACCGTTACTGGAAATTGTAAGCTACTTTTCTGTGTACATGGTGGTTGGATATCACCTTTGGGGGACGGCCCGTTGAGGGTCAGAAGAAAATCTTTAATGACAGCCTATGTTGAGTTGTACATCATTTTAAAGGTCTACTTCAACTGAAAACAATGCCGCAAATCGCACTTCAAAAGGTTGATCCTGCGCAAAATGGCAGATGTTCAAAGATTTTCAAAATTAACCAATTTCTTTAAATTATAACACTTTTTCAAATCTTTAAACAACTGTCATTTTTTAACGGATGGTCCTTTTGAAGTACGGTTTGCGGCATTGTATTCTACTAATAAATACCTTTAATTTGATGTGCATATCAACCTATGCTTCCATTCAAGATTTACTTCCGACTCCTTGTGGGCCGTCGCCCTGAAGAGTTATTTGGATCACTGAATGTGAATTTATGGAGATCATTTTAAAGGGACTTTTAAGCAAAGAAGAATGCCAGCTAATTTCTATTGGATTAATCCATGGGAGGATTAAACATTAATGTTAATTAATGTTAAATCCTCCTAGGTTCAAACCTTAAACACCCAGATCGAAACTCGCCTGTCGTTATTTTAACATCGCTTAATTTTTTTTACTATATTTTTCAAAAAAGGAAGATTAAATTGATTTACTTTGGATTTTAAAAAGTGGACGTTTTATTTTATTAAAGATTTATGGTGATACGTAAATATTGTGGTATAGTAAAGTATATTATATTGTAGTTAAGTGTTAAATTTCGAAATTTTAGGGTGAATCGAGATGAATCTTTTTTTATAACATGGGTCTCTCCTACCTTAACGTACATACCAAGTTTCATAAACATCGGTTGGAAAAGTGTAAAGATAAATATTTGTATGTAAAAAATACAAAATGGCGGATATCTGGTTAACGAAACGATTTTGGAAAAAATGTTATCCTTCATTTTCTGTTTATTTTGACCCAAGGAATTACTAGGTAAAGTATCTCCCCGCTTATTTTTAACACCCTGTTTATGATGTATTCTTATAAGTGAAAAATGTAAGCTGGTAATACAGAAAGATGTTTTATAAATAATATGAATGTACTGGTGATCTGTATATTCATCTTTTTCTTGTTCTTAGAACTGTAAATTAAAAGTCCACTCAGCAGTCGCATCGTACGATGTAGTTCTTTCCATGCGTTGCGAAATGCTAAATTTGCCGTCCTCTTCAACCCAAGTTATCTATTAAACCACTGATTGTACAAAATAAAAAAAAAATATATTTTACGCATCACACTTTTGGCTACAACTTTGCCACAGACGAAATCTCTCTAACCCAAAATAAAAAAAATCTTGCATGCTAACTTTTTCATGTTAGAAATCACGATTTAAAACTATTTCACCATACATATCAATTTTTATTAATTAGATCGGTTAATAGTTTAAAGTTCCAACAAAATAGTCATCGAGTAGGACTAACCAAGAAGCTCTGTGCCAATTTTCAAAATTTTAGCACAACTTAAGTACACCAAAACACTAAATTATTGAAGACATGCGTCGAGAGGACTATCGTTGTTTTAACAGATTATACTTTTGACCTTCCGGCACTGTTGACTCAGCGAAACTGAACTTATATTTTATCTTATTTCGTTATATTAAATTTAAAACTGCTGTTGCATTAGGTCAAATTCCCAATAAGTCAATTGCTTTAACATAGACCACGTTTTTAGCTCGGACTGTACTATTTGACTTACTGGGATTTTTGATCTACAGACACTGCAAACATTGTAGTTTTTGACCTAGCGGCACAGGTATAAATTATTTGACCTTCCGGGACTGTTGACTTTCTGCAACGCGTCCTTTAAAATACACACCCAATTGTGTGTTGGTGTCTTAAAGATTGATTGAATAATAGGGTAAATTGGTTCATACATATTCTATTGGCTAATCTATTTTCTTGGCAATTTCATGTGTATTATTTAATTATGGATGGATTCATTTTTTTAGACAAACTCTCAATAGTACTGATTATTATTCATTACTCATAATTTTTAATAGTACAGCGACACACACCTAAAGTGTGTATTTTAAGCTGACTATGAATGAAGAGTAGTGTAGAATGGAATGAAATGATTTTTGTAGCTTTGTTATGGTCTGCAGTTTCCTTATCAAGACCATTAATTCAAAGTCCAATGATTAAGGGCAGCTAGTTCAAGTCGCAAACCATGTAGAAGCTAGTGACTCATAACGGTACCATAAATGATGACTAACCAATTTGTGCACACTACTGTCAACAGGAATTATTTCTGAACTTAGTTGCAGAACTATAGACTGAATCCCACACTGTTTGTACACAGGTACTTGAAGTTTTAGTCAACAACATGGATGATGGTGAACCGTCGTCTGCTATGAGCCAACTGATTGGTTCACCCAACCAGTACAGGGACCACCGCAGATCAGGGATGGTATGTATTCTAGCTAGATCTCATCCTCAATAATAACCAGATTAAATGCTTTGTCAATTTTATTGTTAACAGTATCAAAATAAGTAAATTATGCATTCTGGAGTAACCTAGAGCCTCAAACGTTTTTAAATGGTTCTCAATAGCTTTTAGATAGTGAAAACTATGTTTAAAGCACCTAGAAATCATAAAACCAAATTAATCAAAATAAAAGCAGTTTAATGGGTAAAAACATTTAAAAATTTTGGTTTTCTGCAGCAGAAAAATTAAAATGTTTTAAAGCATGAATAATAGAACAGAAACATTACGGATAATAACCATAAACGAATAACATCATTGGCCCGTAAGTCTATACTATATGGCTTTGAAAGTTCAATTGAAATATTAACAATTCCATGATTAGGCCTATTTTTGGGCCAATGGCGGTGCTATTGGCTTTTGCTGTGTTTTGTGTTTCTGTGACTATCATGTAAGCATGTAAGTAAAGAACGTTGCGAGGGTTCTGGTGTTTCTAGAATCGCAAAACTGTAATCTCTAAACTGTCTTAGCTCTCCACTTACTGAAGGGTAAACGTGGAATGGATTATAATAGTATCTATACCCCCATGAAAATGGAAATTTAATTATGATAATATTGCATCTGATATCTTGGCATTTAAAAATCAAACAATTATCATAACTTTTTTTACATTTTACTAAATTCTTGATGAAGCAACAACAAAAAAAAGTAAGTCTATTATTTTTACCAAGGTAAATTTTTCTTGAAGCATTTAAAAATGTTAACAAAACATTAACTTACAGGTTTGGGAGCAGAGGCTGTTGGCAACACTGAACAATTGTCGTTACACCAGCAGTGTCGTGTTGGTAAGACTGTCAGAGCTGCTGTCACGGCACGGCTACCCTCCACTGACTGAGCCGTTGTCTGCGGCCAAGCTGCAGTTGGCAGCATTGGAGCGGAGAATCACTGAGACTTATTTGGAACACAAGAGTGACCCGCTGGTCGGCACTATAGAGCCGTCCATGTATATCGGTAGGTATCTCACAGTAATATTGTCTATTACACATTCCATTCTCAGGTTTAACCAGTTAAAAACAAAAATGAATGTAGTGGAATCGAGTGTACTAATGTAAATTACTGGGTTAAATATGCCAACTTTATAACCAACCCAAACTGAAAGGATAACTTTTTGTAAACTATATCTAGTACCTTTTGTGTGTCACATAAAAAATATTATATTTACACATATCACATATCATGAATGGATGAGGTTTGTATTATGTTAGTATTCACTTACTAAAGGTAGACATATGATTTTAGACTAGCACCTTCTGTGAGTGACTTATTCAATAATAATTGTCATTGTTGAATATTGTTGCTGGCTCCTCTCAGCTGGTCCATATAGATGAAATATGTACTAGTCTATCTATAATATTAAAACGTAACAGGGTTTTTTTATTTCACGATTCTGAATCAACCACTAGACGGATTTTCATGATTTTTGTGTTGAAAGAAAGATAATTTTGAGAACTAGGGAATGTCGAAGCCATAATTTTAGTTTAGGGTTCCAGTTCTTTATAAATTAAGTTTTAAATTCTAAAAAGTCTAGCAGCCGAGGCCAACATTCTAATCTAGCTTTTGGTATCATTTCATTTGCTTAACATAACAGCTGTAAACGTTCAGTGCTTGTATCCATCTTATTTTAGATATTTTACTATTAATATTCCAGTTTATTTTGAGAAATTTTAGTTTTATTTTCTGACAAGTCTCTTGTGTTTGCCAGGACGTTGGGACTGGACCACTAGTCACACTCCCAGTGATCTAAGGCCTTATGTCAAGGAGATCATTGCCAACCTCATTGCAGTACATGCTGAGGTAACTTATGAGTGAAGCACTCCCAAGTATTTCACTAATCTTATTTAAACATTTCCTTTCTAAAGTGAGGAGGCTTATTTACATACTTGTTGTGCCTGCCCTGGAAACAGGTCAGTAGAAGTACAGAGAAGTAAGATACAGAGGAAACATGCCTATGGAACAACTGTGCGTTTTAGCTCTGGAATGGACACAGCTGATGGAACAGCTGATGTTTTAAAAAATGATTCATACTGTACAATTAACATCATTCATTTCTGTTCTTCTTGAAAACATGACTTTTATTTTTCTCTTTTAATTTTTCATTAATTTACCAAACACTCAACATTAAATAATGTAACATTAAACTAGGAGTACGCTCCGAAGTCGCGTATGAGAATGAACGAAGACAATTTCATACATACAAATATGTTATTTAACAGTAGATCAACCACATTCATATCAGTTGATCAGCTGCTCAAGAAGTTTTAACTTAATTAAGGCACTTATCAAATCCATAATACTATAGATGAAACAAACTCCCTAATAGTGCGTGGAACAAGCAACATTTTACCTAGTAATCTTTCACTTCCGGAGACCAGCACCATACTTTGGGAATCGACTAAATACATGTAAAAGAGTGAAAATCAGCCGGGAGGCAAGCTATAAAATAATTATGTCACGGGCAGTGACGTCATCAAAATGGCCGCTCAGCCAATAATAATAATGTCGCATATCTCGGGAACCACGTAACCGATTTTGACGTATGACATCTTATTTGAAAGGGCTAATCATTATCTATAAAAAAGGTTATTACACCTATAGCGGTTAAACCAACGGGTTCTTTGTATTTTAGAAAATATTAATTTTTTACGCCCCACAAAATGGGTTTTTGCATTTATCATTCGGAAAAATTAAAATGATCAACATTTACTTTCCGCCGTTGAATCCAGCTTTAAAAGATGAACAATTTAGTATTTTGAATCATCACTCTATGTATATTGGTTACCGAGATATTGAAAGTAGTAAACAAAGAACACTCTGTCCCCCATGTTATCCTTATGGGAAAAATAACGTTCTATATCTCAGTTATTTTTTAACGTATCTTAATACAACTTGGTATGTGGTTTCACCTAGTTGAGCTACTTGATAATGACTATAAAATATTTATATTTTACATTTACATGGCAGCAAACCTACATACTCATTTCCCATATTATTCATATGGCGAATTTGTATGCATGATTATTTATGAACGTATCTTAATACAACTTGGTATGTGGTTTCACCTAGTTGAGCTACTTGATAATGACTATAAAATATTTATATTTTACATATACATGGCAGCAAACCTACATACTCATTTCCTATGTTATTCGTATCGTGAATTTTTATGCATGATTATTTATGAACATATGTTGACAAAACTTGACGTTGAGCTTAATTTTAATTAATTATCTAAGCATTTGAAACTCACGGAGTATGCAGGTCTACTGCAACGGGGGTTTTATAAATATTAGTAATTTTATTTTGGGAAATATTTTTTTCCTGGGTTGGTCAGACTGATAACCGACAAGAGATCTGATGGCAATTTATCACAATTTTGTTGAATAAGAAACGTGATAAAATCCTTATTAACGTGTTGTTTTTGTTTCTTTTGAGTTTACATTTTTCTAGTAATTTTCATATAGGGTTTGGCGTCTTTTGTGCTTCTTAAAACATAGTTATTGATCGTTTAGATTTTTAAAGTGGTTACCTGAAGAATATAATATTCATAGTAATTTTATTTTTGGGTAAAAATATTTTGGGCTTTTCAAAAAATAGTTATGGATTGTTTTTTTGTGGCTACCATACCTGAAGAATAGTATGCATTTCAGGCTTTGGACAGTGGATTCCTCACTTAAACATATTGTTACATAGCATTAGGCTGTTTATTTATTCTTTGTATTTAACTGAAGAATAGTATGCGAAATACGGCTTGGCGTCTCTGTTATTTCCCTTTAACAAATAAAAAAATATATATATTTATTGTATATAATACGTGAAGTCGTTTTTGTTAACACTACTCCTCCCTTATTTGTGGGCCAATTTCAACGTTTGAGGTGTCAAAAGATCCGTCTCAATTTCCAAGAAAAAAACCACGCCTTGATATTATATGCTTGGATGAGAATCTCCCCCAGACAAATTCCGAAAATAATTCAGACGGGGCACGAACTATTTCAAGACAAGATTAAGTTGCTCTCAATTTGATATAAAATCCACCTACAAAATACTAAAAACTTGCATACTCAGGAAATTTCCAAATACTTCGATAATTAATTAAAATTACGCTTAACGTCAAGTTTTGACAGCATATGTTGTATTGAAGTGTTTAAGAAGGCCAAGGTTGGGTAATGTAATATGGGCTAAAACACCAAAGCACCGAGGAATGGTGCTCAGTGACCCGAGGGAAAAGTACTGAGGGAAAGTTATTAGGGAAAAGTGCCCAGGACTTTCGGCCGGGGGCGGATACTGGATACTTACCCCCACTCTCCAAGCATCTTACGAGTTACGACCCTATAAGGAGCATTCTTGGGGGATTTCAACATGTTGGGCCTCCGGGCCCGACCCCGTCGGTAGGCGCCACCGGTAGGGTATGCACTAGAAGCGTGTTGAGCCCCGGCACCCCCGCACTAGAGGCGTGCTGAGCCCGGTACACCCCAGTACTAGAGGCGTGCTGAGCCCGGTTCACCCCAGTACTAGAGGCGTGCTGAGCCCGGTACACCCCAGTACTAGAGGCGTGCTGAACCCCGGCACCCCCGCACTAGAGGCGTGCTGAGCCCGGTACACCCTGCACTAGAGGCGTCTTGAGCCCCGGCATCAGTTTTATTTCAGTTTAAGTCCCCGGTGGCCAAAAAAGCTGTCTCCCGGGACCATGGATCCGTCTGGAGGGGGATGAAGAGGCCCACCTCCACTATTTAAGAAGAGAAAGAGTTGTCTGGGAGAGACGACAGTCTGCATCTGCCAACGGAACGGGCAACACCGACGGTAGCTGCTGCGTTTGGGATAGTAATCCGCTCAGCATTTTCCGAGGCAGTGCCAGTTGGAGGACCGCAGGAGCCGTGTCGATAGGATTTCTGTGAGCCACTACGACGGGACAGCGTCAGGAAGGAGAACCAACGTGGGCAACCCAGGACAGCAAAACGGGACAGAGGGGTCTCGAGCCGATCGACCAAGACGTCAAGGGACCGCCTAATAGATTGCCCTGGTCTGTGGGGTTTCGAAGTAGAAGTCATTTGTCAATAGTTTTTGTAATCAGTTCTGAGAGTAATAAATGTATCATAATTCCTACAAGTGTTCAGTCAATCTGAGTCCTGAAAACTCCCGAAAAGGTCTAAAGCTGTAAAGTAAGGAAAAGCTGAGAAAGTACAGTACAATGTTCATAAATAATCATGCATAAATATTCGCCATATGAATAATATGGGAAATGAGTATGTAGGTTTGCTGCCATGTAAATGTAAAATATAAATATTTTATAGTCATTATCAAGTAGCTCAACTAGGTGAAACCACATACCAAGTTGTATTAAGACACGTTAAAAAATAACTGAGATATAGAATGTTATTTTTCCCATAAGGATAACATGGGGGACAGAGTGTTCTGTGTTTACTACTTTCAATATCTCGGTAACCATTATACATAGAGTGATGATTCAAAATACTAAATTGTTCATCTTTTAAAGCTGAATTCAACGGTGGAAAGTAAATTTAGATTATTTTAATTTTTCCAAATGATAAATCTAAAAACCCATTTTGTGGGGTGTAAAAAATTAATATTTTCTAAAATACAAAGAAACCGTTGGTTTAACCGCTAAAGGTGTAATAACCTTTTTTATAGATAATGGTTAGACCTTTCAAATAAGATGTCATACGTCAAAATCGGTTAAGCGGTTCCCGAGATATGCGACATTATTATTATTGACTGAGCGGCCATTTTGATGACGTCACTGCCCGTGACCTAATTATTTTAAAGCTTGCCTCCCGGCTGATTTTCACTCTTTTACATGTATTTAGTCGATTCCCAAAGTATGGTGCTGGTCTCCGGAAGTGAAAGATTTTTACACTTGTTCCACGCACTATAAGGGAGTATGTTAAATCTACAGTATGACAATACTTTTTCACCAAAGCAGTTTCTTTACTGCACTTTGGCCTTGTGTCATTAAAGCAGCTAGGACCAGGAATCAGGGAGATGGTTTATGCATGGAAACTTTGGTCCAAGGTCATAAGACAGATTTGAGAAAATCCACTAAAAGAACGGGTAAATCTTTCCAAATTCCGTGATGTATAATCAAAGAATGTATTTCAATTTATTACTAAAACCAGCAATATTGCTAGAAAATGCTAAGCAATATAGGTTTGTCAATCTAATAAATAAAATCTCCAACAATTATTATTTGTGATGATTCATTGCTGTAATGTACAGCAGTGTGTAAGAACATCTCTCACATGACCCATAAGAAGAATTACAATCATATCACAATACATGAGAATTTAAAACTTGTGTGGCGAGGTGGAGGAGAAAACACTATTTTGAACCAGCAGAAACTGCTGATTTTGTTGTGCGAGTGATAAAACAAATGTTTTAAAGTTTTAAAACTTCATATTTAGATCCATATTTTAAGTCATTATCATAATAGTTTTAAATGCAAAATTACTATCGAAGGAGTAAATATTTTCTAAATATCAAGTATTTTTTTCCCTCCTACAACTTCACACACAATTGGAGAGTACTGTCAAATGTTCGACTCTCTAGAGGACGAGATCCTAAACATCGATGGTGAGGTGACTGTTTGGAGGGATTTTAATGCTAGTGTGGTGGAATGTGAAACAAACACAGGAAGGCGGTATGTTTTAGAGAGGGCAGCCAGGCTAGCTCTCTATATCCTAAACACAGGTGACGTTTCCAACATCCGTCACCCCTGGCATGGAAAGATGGTCCCTGACATCTCTCTGGCATCTGAAGCCCTAGCCCACCGCTCACTGATAGGAGAGTCTCTGAGGACTACTGTCCGCGAGAGTAAAGAAGTCCTCTGAGCCAGAGCGAATGCAGCAATGTTTGTATGTTGCCGCGCGGTATTTGCAGGTGCTCTTTTGGTTTTAACGCAGTGGATGTGAGCCCTGATTGCCGCGTGGAACATGAGTAACCCGCTCGACCCGCCTAGATCTCAAGTAGCAAGCGCCTGCATTTTTAGAATAGGCCAGGGCTCAGAGGACTTCTTAACTCTCGCCTACAGTACTCTGCAAGCGACTTATCTGGCAATTTTCTTCAAGGATATTCCTGAACTTTCCTGAGCTGGGCAAATACACAATATGCCAGCTCAGTTCATCCATCTCAATGTATCTCAGTTGTCTTTGCCAGGGCACATTTCAGGGTTACATAAAAAATTAGCCTGTTGGGGACATTGGAAGTGCCTAATTTCAAGCTACGTTGACAATGCGTTCCACCATCTCCGGCATTTGATCGTTCCATGCCTAGGATTTTTGCCACCGCAGAAAGAAGCCAGTTAACTGGTGGAAACCCAAGATTGTAGAACCCTGGAGAATATACCTTGAGCTCCAACGAGCAGCGCACCATGCCAGAAACTGGCCTGAAGCTAGATCGGCAGAGCTCAAGGCCGCAATTCAAGATCCCCATATAGTGCTATCAACTGGAGTAACGTCAGGTGCTGGAAGCAACTGTCAGGACATCCAGAACAATTCTTGAGTGATGGGCTACAAGATTGTAACCCAAATGATAGGGACTTGATCACCAACTACAGTCATGGAACCTGTCACCGTTGCTACTGTCATTGAAGCGTTATTTCCAAAGCATCCACCGCTACCAGCGAGGGAATTTGGAGATTAGGGCGCGTTACCAGCCTTTCGGGAAGAGGGACTTTCCTCCGCTGTCCCATTCCTTAGAAATGGAAGAGCACCTAGCCCTGATGGCATTCCTGCATAATTTCTACAGCAGCTTGTTGGTGTTCATTAGACTGTTACTTGAGATACAAGTCGCTAACTAATACCTGAAGAATTCAGTACTCAATACAGAACTTGTAGTCATGGATTCTGCTATGCTGTAAGTTAGTTGAAACCAATCTTAAAACTTAAAGTGTGGCCTATCTTTACATTCTAAGTGGTATTGAACTTGGATTTAAATGCAATAATGTCTTGTAAATTTTTATTTGGTTGCTTGTTTTTATGAATATTAACTTTAAAATAACCTTTAGAGAGTCCCCATTTTCAAGTTTTACATCGAATGAAAGTTGTTTTTTTTTTTTTTTATGGGACTCTTTTATCTCAAACATTCAGTAAATACCAATTTTCATTAAAAATTACCTCCACCGCAGCAAACCTGCCGACTAAGCGAATTTCTACTTGCCTTATATGATTTTCACTTAAATGTATTTTAATAACATTAGGTTTATCGAGTACCTAGGTTTGCTAATACAAGGAGGGTAATAATAAAGTGTAATTTTTGGTAAAATACTTAATAGCTTAGAATAACAAAAAAAATATATATATAACAGGGGAATTTCTTTTAAAATATTTTATTTTTTCTATTTTAAATAACCGTACGAAAACATCTCAATGTATTAAGTTTCTTCTGTTTTAAGCTGTTCAAAATGGTTTAGAGAAAATATTTAATTTTTATATAGTCCAAAATGAGAAAAACCAAATTTTACCCATAAATCTGTGTTCCCGTAGTTCGATCATGCTCCTGTGCTAACTCGTCCAAACAGGTTTGTATGAAATTTCATTGAAATTGGATGGTTTTTACTCGAGTTATCGTGCTTACGGACACAAACACACACAAACACATATATATATTTATATATTAGTCTGAACAGATGGTGTTTTTGGCCACTGGAACATCAAAATTAAATATTAAAGTTGTTTCAGGTCTAGGTCTTACCCAGACCTGAGACAGTAATAGCTTATTCTCTATATATGAGTAATTCACTAAATAGTAGCTAAGAAACCAAACTAAAGAGTCATAGGCCTACAACTATCTATATATTAATAGTTTTAAATAATCCATAAACTTAAAACAAAAAGGGATTTCATGTAACAACCCTTTTCCAGCCTATCAAATTTAAAACTTAGGTAAGTCTCGGATTTTTAATAGTTAGGTGTCATTTAATGCTAATGATTGCAAATAGTAATTTTTCATAAAGAAATCTTTATTTTTTTCCATACAACGTACAAACACAAAGATACATTCACAAAAAAAAAAAAACAATAACCATCTTAGGTTTAAATATACACTTTCTTAATTTCCTTTAGGGCTTTACCCCCTCTAAGTTTAATTTATTTCTAGAGTCCATCCAAAGATCCTCGATCTTAAGGTCACATATCTGGTATGCTGAGAAACTTTCTTTATTAAGATTGATATGTGAATTGTTATTTACAGTGGCGGTTCTAGGGGCCTTGTTATGGAGGGCTACCAGGGTGTTCCTCACCAGTAGGGGTCTAAGAGCTGTCCCCTGGACAGTTTGCTATTTTTTACGTCACATTTAAGGTCTTTAAACTATGTTCAAACACAACCGTTACGTATTTACGACAAAAATTAACTTATGTTTGAATTTATACTTCCAGGTCCAATATAAAAACTCCCGTGAGTGGCTTCAGCCTCTGTGCCCCCCCCCCCCCTTTGAATCGCCACTGATTTTAACAGCTGTAATTTAACAGCTGTAACTTTAGGTGAATGTTTAGCCACAGTCAGAATGTAAACAAAAGACTAAGCAGTTTACTTGGTCTGTGGATATGATGATTAGTGGCATCATATAATAGTTGGCTAAACTTGTTTTTTTTCTTTGCTGCATCACTGGTTCATGGTCTGTGAGTAGGTATTGTGAACCAAAAGACACCAGCTCTAGATGTGTAATATTAAATGTATACCTTGGTTTGTGACAAAGACCGCAGCGTTGCATACGAGGTAAGTTCGGAAAGTAAGATTCCCCTACTCCCTGGGGGAGCATTGCGATCGCATGTTAGCGCATGCGCAGTAGTTACTCTGAGTCTTCCGAAAGGAAATGACGCCATTTGGAACTCGCTTTTTTTGTCGTACACTTCGTAACGCTTGTTCGTAATGCCTGCGTTGATTGAAAATCCAGCCGATTGTGAAATTCGATCAGTGATTTGTTTTTTTTTAATACTGTACGGTACAAAAAGTTATATAGCAATTGACATTTACCGACAAATCTATTATGGGGACAATGTAATGAGTAATTCAATGGTGAGAAGATGTGTTTGACAGTTCAAAGAGGAGCAAGATACAGTGCATGATGAGGAACAAAGTGGACGTCCATCTGTGGTAAACAATGAAATGATTAGTGCAATTAGTCAATGTGAGATTAAAGAAAACTTTAATTTTACAATATGAGCTCTTGCACGTAAATTTCCTCAAGTTTCAAGAATTGTAATTTACGAGATTGTTACTGAAAAAATTTGACTTTTATAAACTTTGCTCACGTTGGGTGCCTAACATCCTTTCTGAACGGGGCAAAAACCACTAAATGGGCAGTGCACTTAATTTCTTGACTCATTATGACGAGAATGGTGATACATTTTCATTGCAGATAGTCATGGGAGACAAATCTTATTATGGGTTGCTTATGATACCTCTGAAACCAAGCATCAATCAATGGAATAGAGGCACACTAACTTACGTTTTTGCAAAAATCAAACCAAAGTAATTCTTGCTATCTCAAAAGGTCATGTGCACAATTAATGAAAAATTAAAAGAGAAAAATAAAAGTCATGTTTTCAAGAAGAACAGAAATGAATTATGTTAATTGTACAGTATGAATCATTTTTTTAAACATCAGCTGTTCTAAGTAAAGGCTAAAGAAAATTATTAAGTGAAAGAACTGAACAATTTGTAATATAAAAAAGTTAGTATGCGAGATTTTTTTTAATTTTTTGGTTAGAGAGGTTTTGTCTGTGGCAAAGTTGTAGCCAAAAGTTTGATGCATAAAATATATATATATATTTCTTTATTTTTTTACAATCAGTGGTTCAATAGAAAGGCTTGTAAATGAGTATTGTTACAGGTCAACTGGGTTTGTACATGAGTAGGTATTGTTACAGGTCAACTGGGTTTGTACATGAGTAGGTATTGTTACAGATCAACTGGGGTTGTACATGAGTATTGTGACAGGTCAACTGGGTTTGTACTTGTACAAAGTATTGGGATAGGTCAACCCGGTTTGTACATGAGTATTGTGACAGGTAAACCATGCTTGTACATGAGTATTGTTACAGGTCAACAGGGTTTGTACATGAGTAGGTATTGTTACAGGTCAACTGGGGTTGCACATGAGTATTGTTACAGGCCAACTGGGTTTGTACATGAGTAGGTATTGTTACAGGTCAACTGGGGTTGTACATGAGTATTGTGACAGGTCAACTGGGTTTGTACTTGTACAAAGTATTGGGATAGGTCAACCCGGTTTGTACATGAGTATTGTGACAGGTAAACCATGCTTGTACATGAGTATTGTTACAGGTCAACAGGGTTTGTACATGAGTATTTTGACAGGTCAACAGGGTTTGTACATGAGTATTGTGACAGGTCAACTGGGTTTGAACATGAGTATTGTGACAGCAACTGGGTTTGTACATGAGTATTCTTACAGGTCAACTGGGTTTGTACATGAGTATTGTGACAGGTCAACTGGGCTTAAACATGAGTATTGTGACAGGTCAACCGGGTTTGTACATGAGTATTGTGACAAGTCAACTGGGTTTGTACATGAGTATTAAGTCAAGTCAACCGGGTTTGTACATGAGTATTGTGACAGGTCAACCGGGTGTGCCCCGAGCTGGTTGGCCGAGTTCTGTCTCAGATCACGGAGACTGTGGCTGAGGAGTTGTTCAGACTCATGTCTTGTGTCACTAAGTTCAGTGTGAGAGGCAACCAACAAGCCAGAATTGACATTCAAGCTTTGCAACGCTTCCTCAAGCCATTCACACTTCAGAGAGCTAGGTATGTTGCATATGGAATATTGATAGGTGTGATAAGAGATGTGTAAATAGTTTTGATAATTTGTTACACTTACATTTTACCCACCAATTTTACAATTTGAGATAGTTTTATAAGAAAGACAGTAAAAACTTGCTAGAGCTTTGATTTTAAAAGACTTAAATATATAGTTTAATTTAATTACAGTAATCTCTCAGCAGTCCATCGCATAAATAGACGCATTGTAAATAATATTTTGGATTACTGTAAATTTTGAAAAAAAAACACTAAGGTGAAAATAATTATTGAATGTAGTGTGAAATGGATCAAAACAGAAAACAGCAAATTAAGTTCCAATGAAAAAAAGGTTTATTCAGGCTATCAAAATGCAAACTTAATAAATTGAAATTTTTAAAGTTGGGGCTCCTTGCTTAACTCATTACACTTATTTAATATACGTATTTGATTCGTAACACTTTATAGATGTATAATACTATCCATTTGCACATTATGTTCTGTAGCCTCATTGTAGTTGGGTAACTGAGTGGTTACAGTTATTGTCTGACAATCGAAAGGTTGCCGGATTAATCCTGAAAAAGTCAGTAGCTTTTTGATGGTTAAAAACTGCACCCAGATGTCTGATCATTGGACTTAAAAAGACGATCCTGACCAATAAAACAGCTGGCCTTAATCAATAACAAAGCTACAAAGATTATATCACTCCTTTCTACACCCTTATAGGTGGCCTCCCCATCTCAATTGATAATGATAATAATAGTTGTACACCGAAATATCCACAATCATATTTCGATAGAAAATGTGTTTTACATGCGCATTATAGACTTATAGACATTATAGAACAGATGGTCTATGTCGTCTATGACATTATAGAACTTTTTCAGACTAGGGAATGTTGGACGACCGATATTCTACAGTTGTATTTCATTAATCATTATTAAACATAAAATTTGTATTTTATTTTAGGGGCTATTTTGAAGAAGCCTTGGAAGCATTACCCCCTTTGAAGCCAGATGAACTTAAGTAAGTGCATATTTTTATATTAGTTAATGATAGTTCAACATATTAACTTTTATAATACATAATATTTTGAAACCATCAGTATTATATAGCATAGTTTTGCTAATAAACTAAGAAAATATTTTCGCTTGACTGGTGTCCACCTTCTTTTAACTTTATTGAATGAGTTATAACATATAATCATCTTATGGTTTGTTTGTATATATCTTTTTTTAAGCTACAGAAATAAGAACTGTAAAGCAATTCTTTAGCAATGGTGATGTTACAAGTTGTAGAAGTGAAAAAAACCAGTTGTCATATGACCTGTTACTAAACTGGATTTGGCTTCAGTCTTGTTTTAAAATGCTTGCTTATATTTTCAAACCGTATTATAACGTGGTTTGGATTCCACTATAAACTGTAGTTTCATTAGTTGCCATTGGCTGTATGGGCTATTAATTAACAGTGCTGTCCAAGGAACATGTCGATCGCACCACTCATCGTACACTTATCTCCATTGGCTTAAAATACCTACTTTCAAATGGTCGCCATTTTGATTAAAAGTATTAACGTTTTCATATTAAAAATTGACTTTCATTCCATTAAGTTAGCTCTCCAATTTGAACAACTGTTTTCAGGCTGGTGGACGAAGTGCTAAGTATGAGTGAGTCCAAGATGAGACTTCAGCTTTACTGTTTCCAGAGTGCTTCCATCTCGGAGGCCAGCTGAAAATTGCTCCTTCAAACTATCATTAGACCATGATAGTTTGAAACTTTGTGAGTGTGGTACCAGTTCTGGTACTTTGATACATTATGATTATGATAGTATCAGTAATGTTAGTTGATCACATGACCAAGACCTATAAGAGTATGAGCAATGAGTAGTTAGTAACAAGCAACAGTAAATTCTTAAAAGTACAACCTAATGTACCCAAAACTGAACTTTCCATTGTATTTTGAATAGTACTATGTGTACCGAAACTAATAATGTGATCAAACATTTTGTACCAAACTGAAGTTTCAAGAATAAATCTAGTGACATAACGAATTTAATTAGTTTGGTATACAAAATCAGCCCAATGATTGTTATGATTTACGAACATGTTGAATAATTCATTTTCTGTGATTGTTTTAGTAAGGTAATTCACAATCAAATTACAAGCACCTTACCCATTTAGTTGGTACCGTACAAGTTTGTGTTGTGGATGTCCTCATTTGATGGTCTGGCCTAGGAAATTTTTACCCTCCTGAGGTTGGGTGTAATGCAAAAATGCAAGGCATCTTTAACATTTTTAAATAAGGTATTATGCCTATCTTATCAAGGATTAAGGATACTGTGATTTGGTAACATTTTCAATTGGTAAATTAATTTGTACTTGGGGTTTAAAAAATATTTTTTCAAAGGCTGTAGAATCTATTGACCCCAGTTGATCTGCTCCCTGGTTCTACAGAAGTACATTATTGACATGTGTCATGTTATGGACTCATTATATGTCACCCCCAGTACATCGCAATGAGAACTGTAACAATATAGATTTGAACTTTTTTTTCAAACTAGGCCTAATTGCTTATTTTGTAAATGTAAAAATAACAAAAACACAGTGGTATTGAAAATTATGTAGTGTCTATTAGGATAAAAATTTGTTGAGCAAAACTAAACTATCGTTTCTCCATGTATTCCAGGAACAACCTTGATTAAATACTATTTATTCCTAGTTGTCTGCTAGTTCCTTAAATCGTATCGTTGATCTTAATGTATAGTTCAATCAAATTCATATCATTCTGTTACTTAATGGTGTAAGTTTAACAGAACTTTTACCTGGGAAGTTTTGGTTTTAGCAGAACTTAAATGAATTAGTATTATAGCTGACTTCCTTACATCAGACACCCATTCTTTCTGATATTTTGAGCCCAGTTTACTCACTAAAAATGTTGGAATCATTAGAAATTATTACAAAATAAATACTAACTTTCAACATTATCTGTGCAAAAAATTAACACCAACTAGCATCTTGTAAATATGGCTGAATTGGAAGAAGTCTTATTTTAAAATGAAAAAAATGCTTCACAATATTAAATACTTTTTAATTGTTATTGTTACAATATTATGTAGATTTTTTTAGTGAGATTTAAGTTAGCCATTTGACATGTTATGTGTGTACAAAATGTAAAAACATAGGATCTAATCGTGTTAATCAAATAGCTAGTTGTATAATTAATTACCCTTGTATGATAATTTGAAATAATAAATAGTGTTTTAATTTATATACTAAAGCCATTTAGTTTTCAATATTTAAAAAAATAATCATATATTACACAAACCATTAAATACACTTATACATAATTTCTGTATCTATTTGCTGAGTTTCATGCTGTGATAATTTCCCAGCTCTTTTTAAGATTATGCATAAGTTATTGCTTTTAAAGTTATTGTTATGAGCTCCTTTAAAAGTTATTGTTAAGTTTTTAATGTTTCTTATAGAACTTTTGGATTATAATAACTTATCAATGCTACTTTAACAAGTGTGATTCAGTATAAGAGCTTTATTAATTTACTGTAAACCTAAGATTTGAGAAAAAGACTATAGAAGTTATTGCCTGTTGTTTATTTTCATATTGCATGTGTATAAATGCTTAGTGCTTAGTGTAAAGTATCAATACAATTAATAAACTTTTATGAATATCTTAAGTTTTTATTTTCTTTAAAGGATAGAGTTATGAGCTGAGATGAGAAAATTAGCGTACAGGTTTTTTTTTACACCATTAAGGGTCACATAGCACAACTCTTGATATTGAGAGAGAAGTTTTATGAGAAAAGTTTTGGAATTGGACCTTTCATTGTGTATTTACAAGATTTTGGGCGCTAATTTTCCAGCTATAACCTTTCCCTTCCTCAAAAACTCCTTAATAAGCTACACTTTCCCTTAAAGTATTAAATTTTCAATGCAAACTTTGAATCAGGCGAATAAATCCAACCAAATGCAAAAAACCTGTCATATGCTATTAAAGCTGTTCCGTTTGATTTAAAAATACTGCTCACTGATAGTTTTTGTTATTGCCAACTCATGCTGCTGTGAATTGTTATATATAGCTATACTAAAGTCAAACATAACTCTACATCCTCTTGGGGACTGGACCTCGGAAAACTTTATAATAATGTAATTAAATTGAATTACGGTAGCCTACGAACACATGCCAGCAGAGCGTGTATTTTGACTAAGAGGCACAGTTTGTATATGCTCGTTAATATCTGTGACGGTTAATCCAGAGTCATTTAAGAGAGCGTCTTCTACAATAGCTAAATTTGAGTGCATACAATATAAATTATTGTGATTATTTATTCATAAACTCTAACAAACCAAAATACCTTTAATCGTACCATTAGACATCTCTATTTCCGTCTAAATTTAATAAAAACCCATTATGTTTGCTAACCTTTTATTTAGCCTATTTGAAGGAAACAAACAAAAAAGGTTGGACTTTTATAACAAATATAATAAGACCACTCAATGCAGGTAAAATTACACATTTTACACATCTAAAACAAAACCAAAATAAATACTCCAAAAGAATATTTTAGGTTCCTTTTACAATAATCTGATAAAATGTACATTCATTATTCCTTAGTATATACAAAGTATATTTCTATAGCCCTAGCACTTCCATAAATAGTCAATCTTAAAACATTTGCAACAATTCTAGATAAATAGGCCTAATAGGCTAATACACACAAAATAGCATTATTAATGTTAATACTTAATATACAATACACAACAACTTCAGGAATTAAAATATTAACTTAAATTATAAATATCACAATGTTCTTATATCTAGATCTATCTCTATATACTAATAGAAAATGTTATTTTCAAACTCTGGAAGAAACGCCTGGTAGGCAAATTCCGTGGTTACCTGAAAACATAACATATCATCATTATTCAATTGTAGATATAATACAGTATTTCCATATGAATACTGCCTCAAACGTTTTTGTATGAAAAGAAAATGTGCACAGCTATTTAATTTGTATAAATAATTTTCTACGCATTTGAAACCACCTATAAATAATATATCTCCTGTCTTTGATCTTGTCTATGAAAGCCATGCAGTACAGATTACTAAGAGAAAAATTAAATACTATTTAAACAAAAAGTCCGTTTCAAGTCAATTGGCATTTTTCTGTTCAGTTTTGTGTCTTTATTTTTAATATTTAATATGTATGGTGAATGAAAATTATTCAGACAAAAGTTTATGAGGTAATAGTAATATCACATACTTTTTGGACTTGAAAGCAGAGGATGTTTCAAGGATTTTTGTTGGGGTAGCAAGTTTAACTTAGATGAATAGAAAAGAGTGCTGGCACAAAGACAAAAAAACTCTTTCACATCAGGTGAGCCTGCTGTCTAAAAAAAAATTAAGCCATTAATCACTTTACCAGCTCACACTTGTCTTTCTTTTATTCAGCTTAAACTGCTCCAAAACTGAGTCACAACTTCAGTGAAAATATTTAATAGGTTGAAACACACACCAACAAATAAAACTCACCATCTTAAGAACCATCTTGGAGGCATGACTTATGTTTTTTGTGTCTGTCAATCTGTACCATCATCATCAGCATTACAAAAGGCAAAAATATACATGTTTAAAATTTAAATAACTTTTCAATCTTTTATTTGTTTAATGTAATAACTATTTGAACATAGAACTGGAGCACTTAAATTATCTGATCAACTTGACTTATTTCAGATTTATTTTTTAAGACCTTGTTGGCTTTATAAAAATCTTAGAGGAGGCACAAACTTAATCTCTTCTCTAAGTTGGCGAGATATTTTGCCCATGTATTTTAATCTGAATATGAATACATGGTGAGTTGGCTATATAATAACTATCCTCACTATCAGCTAATTCTTTTGCCAGGATATTTTACTAACAGACCAGATCAAGGACAGTTGTACTAGTTCAGACGATCAACAAGTTCTGACTTTTTTTAGAATCAAACTCTGAGGAACTTCTGATAGCTAAGCAAGCAGTGGAACCCCTTAGCTACCCAGTTAGCCTATTGTCAGTTGGCCAAAGAAATTTTTTGAATCAGAATGTGTGATTGTGATTGATATCTGCTTAGTGCTAACATTCTACTCATCAGTTATCAGTTCAATACTTACATCTCTAGTTTTCATAGTTTTCATGTCTTCTCTGTACTTTCGATGGAAGAAGCCAGTCTGGAACATTTTAAGGTAGTGTTAAATTAACACGAGTTTAACAATTACACTACTCTTAATATCTTATGATATTAAAAATATAAAACCCATAATACCACCTTGCAACAAAAATATGTGGCAGTTTAATTTTAGTTCACAGCTTTTAAACTTTTACTCTCTGATATGAAAACTATTGTTTTTACCAGTAAGTATTTGGGCTCTGATTATGGTAGTTATTGTCAAGATTTATTATTTAGTGGCTGGTGAACTAGGATTGTGAGAGAGTCCTCCCCTTGCAATATCAAATACACACACACACACTATGATTAATTTCCTTTTTGATAAAAAAGAGATAATCAGTGTTTTTACAACCCAAACTTAGACCAAGATAATGTTTCAATAATGTACAGTAGCAACGCTAGATGTGTTGGAGACCAAAACCAACCAACCATAACACTGTACTCAGGTTGTATGTCTAAAACATGTGAGGTATTAGAGTGTCAACTATCACCGTAGTACAGTAGATACAATTATTGCCACTACTGTGTAGTGCACTACTCAATCTGTAATTTATCAAATCACCATTTTATCCAGGTCTATTTGTTGTTGTATTCATTAATTAAAACATTATAGAAAGCATTTATGTTAGGTCCACAACATTCCAAGCTATTTATGGTTGACTAACTTACTCTCCAACCATGTTGGTCCACCAGCAGCCACTGAAAGATCTTCTGTATAACGTGTCTTAACCTTATCTTAGATTTTTAACAGAGGTTCCCTACACTCCTCTGTATGTGTAGTGAATGTGTTAATGCTAAAGTTCCTTTACCTTAGAAAGTATTGTGACAAGAAGTGCCAGCAAGAGCAATCCTAGAAGAGCGGAAACTATAAGAACTAAGGGAGATATAGTTTCCTCAAAGTTGCCCACCAGCACAGTAGCTACACTAGCCATTCTTAACCTGAAAATAAATTAAATATAGTTTGAGATATGGACAATGAAAATAAGTAAAAGTAATTAGCTGTTTCTCATACAAAAATTAATTTCATTGCTAAATTGTTTGTAACTAATCAATTAGATCTAATCAATTCAATTAGAGCTAATTGAATTAAGGCATGGACATTTAATATTACTGTTCTAATTTGAGAATGCTTATTTCCTATCAAAAATTGATAGTTTATGAAAATATATTTAATTATACTTTATAAAAATACATCCTAAAAATATCCCACGCCAATATATTTTGGCTTTTCGATTAATTTAATTGGTTTAAAACTCCAATAGTCACAATCGCCTGCTTGGCTTGAATCTGATAAGGATTCAAAATTATTGTTCGGCCTTTTCTAGAGGGAGATTTTGGTGTTGTTACAGGGGTTTTTTTTTATCCCAGGTAGGCTCCAATCTGGTTTGGTAATGGCATTACTTCATTGCATAGCAGTGCTTGGAACATGTTGTCCAGAGAAGTCCTATGCTATAACTACTTGACCAATTGGCCCTTTGTTGTAGAGATGGTTTCCGAACAAATATGTACGAGTTTTCTAAAAGCAGAAAATGTTATTCAATGAGTTATATAAATACCTTTTGCCAAAGTAAATGTCATATTCATCAGGTATTTTCACCGAAGCTGATGAGGAAATCTGTATCACATCCTGTTGCTGAATCAGATCTGTAAGATAATGTATCATTATTATTAATCAATTGATATGGGATTGGGCTACCTAGATGAGTTTTTTCGTAGGTATAAATTTTAATAGTAAATCAGTATATTGTGTTTAATTGAAACAATTTTTTTTCCAATACAGCCAACACAATTATTTTTGTAAGGTTAACTTTCTTTTTGGCTCAATGGATAGGTTGATAGGTTGAGGACGGGTTGATAGATTTTAGCCAGGATGTAGGTTAGATCATTTGTTAAGGTTCCTTAGATCTCTTTTCTTTTATTATACATCAATTTAACAGTTTTTTGTTGGACGCATTGAAGTATCTAAAACCGGACAAAGCTTGGTTAGTTTTTGTTCAACTGAGTTTTTCCTCAAGAGGGCGAAGAGGGTTGACCAATAGCAACTCTACTCATGATCAAAACAGCGACCTGATTGGTAGGCAAACTCTACAAATCCCCAGTCCCAAAAACGGTGAGACTTCTATGCCAAGTTCTCCCTTTCTCACCTATCATGGTCCTGTTGATGTTAAACTGCAGTTTCATCTCCGCAGTGTCCCCAAAGTTGAGCAGTCCTGTTCTACAAGTCACCAAAGCGCACGCAGCTGTTTTCAAACCAGCCTCCGTGCAGTTCAAGTGGAAAATATTCTTAGTAAGATAAGACTCCACTTCGTTTGACTCTAGTGCCGCTACTTCCCGCTTACGTCTTGATTGGTTCTCAACTAGGTTCTAGGTTCAAAGTGCTGTAGTCGACACTACACCTCACTGTGTGGCCTTTGATTGTGAGCTGGAAAAAAATAAAGTATTTAGAGCCGTCTATGCTAAATTACCCGTTGTCTTCGGCCACAGCAACACCGTATATTGAGGGGTTCAATTCTCATCTCATGTCTGTTGTGAAATTTATGAGAGTTCACCTGATTGTAGTTAGAGGCCAATCTAAAGTAAAAGGTGGATTAGAGACTAAACAGGATGAGTATATTCTAGATTGTTTGTGAGTTGTTGTACCTCAAGTCAGAATTTTATAATTTTTTACTTTACACTTACGTTACAGTGTATTCGTCCATCAAGCTCATTTAAATAGAATTTAAAAAAATAGAATTTCAAAAATTCCCAAAAATGAGGGAAACACGTGATAAAATAACCTTCAATAATTAATACCTTTAGTACAAACTGTTAATCAATTAACCCCAGAATATTTTTTATTTCTCTATTATAATAATTTTTTTGAGGTTACATCCTTTTAATGTCTTTTATCATAACATATAAGAATTTCAACACGATAATAATAACGGGTGTGTTGCCATAATGAGAAATATTTAACCAAAATAAAGAAAATAAAGAAAAAGCAGTTCTCTGGATACTAATATAAAGAGACTAGCTGACCGCGCGAACTTCGTATCGCCTAAGTTATAGGTTTCCCCTAAGACAGACCGATGGAAAGAAAGTACCGTTACGTTTTATTTTCAAGATGATCTCGTTCGCATCGCTCAATCACGTCCTGGTTGAAGTTTGTTCGCTACGCTCACTCACCTTTGGGTTGGAGCTCGTTCGCTGCGCTCACTTGCCTTTAGGTTGGAGCTCGTTCTCTACGCTAACTCGCCTCCAGGTTAGCTCGTTCGCTACGCTCACTCGCCTCCAGGTTGAAGTTCGTTCGCTATGCTCACTCACCTTTGGGTTGCAAATTAGCTGTTGTCATAAATGTAAAAGAAATAATAGTGCTGCACCCTGTTGGTAATCCTTGTAACTTTAATGCTACTTAACATCATAGAACAGAACCAACTTGTTTAATTGAAACAGCTGTTAAGATTCATTAATTCCATTTCTCATAAGGTTAAC